AAGTCAAAAGGAGAATGTTCTGAAAAAATTTTAGTATCAAAAACAAAGGGGTGTTAAGTACAGAGTGGGGTGAAATCTAAATGTTTGGCAATCCTTTTGTACATTCTCAGTTCCATGATGAAGTTCTCTAATCCTCAAACCTTAAAGAGTCCTGATAGTACTGGTTACTACATCAATATGACCTATTAAAGGTTGCTGATACCTGGTTTTCATATGTTTGTTTAGATTCATAAACAAATACATAATAACACTCCAGACACTAATCAGGAGCAGGGAACAAGGGATGTGTGATTTCAATACTCCAGGCAAATTAAAAATTAAATGTTTTAGTCAGATTTCAGTATCTACATTGAAAACTAAGATTTGTAAACACAACAGTCTTAGTAAATAGCCTTAGTCATATGAGCCTATCCCAACTGACATGATGAATATTTGTTGACCTGAGAGTATACAGCTGTCCTTCAAATAAAGGCATTGTGTCAAAGAAATTTTTAACTACACTACCTAACAAATGACTTCAGAGAGTCTATTAACAGTGATGTCATGGCCAACAGACCTTGATATATATGAATACATACAAAAATCATACCGTAACTTAAGTCTGTATCGGAACTTTGGAGGGCAACATGATCATATTACACAGAAACCTAACTGAATAAATTTCCTGCACTAAACAGGTGTTTTAAGAGTATATCTCATTTTTAACCTGTAAACACACAATCTTAATTTGAATATTAAATTCTAGAACTCCACATAAGTGACATTACACTGTACAGAAGACTGACATCCAAGCCCAACAACTTTAAATCCAATTTATGTGAGTATTAAATTATACTCAGTTGGCATTTACATCGAAAAATGCATATATTTATAATGTTTGAAATGCTCAACTGTCATAGCAAGGTAAATATCAAAAATTTGTTTAGAACATAAATGCTTTGCACCATGCAGCCATTGTATCCAGTTAGGTCATGATTAGAGGATTGCATCTGAAACACACATATATACGAGCTTGATGGAACACATCATTAAATAATTTGATTCATTAATGACAAAGCATTCTCATGGTAGTGTTAAGTGTTGTTTGCTGTTTTGCAAAAAAGTTGTCTTAAAGTACAATTCAATATTAAGAGTGGTCATGCCAGCTGCTTAAAGCCGATACTGGTGACCAGAATCAAAGTGAACATGATTCTATAGTAAGTTTACAAACTCATGATACAGATGAAAAACCATGGAGAAAAACCTTCCAAGAAAATACATTTTTTTATAACCAAAATTCTCAGCCATGGTTATTTTTTATGGTATCAAAACATAATAATGTGTTGTGTCATATGTTATCAATGAAGTGCCCATGATCCCCTCTTGTAACTGTGAATTATGTTATTGTGCAGGAAATTTTATAAGTAAATCAACAGAAAACCAGAAATTGTACCACAACTTATGCACTACATAAAATTAGCTTAACTGTCACTTCTAGACTATATAAATTAGCAAGTCTGGTTACTGACAATTAAAAAGCTGAACAAAAATTCCACTTCATAGGAATCATTGCCGTTAAGACAAATCAAGTTTGCACTTCATAGGAAATGTCGCTGTGAAGACAAATCTTTCCTACGCCCTAGTGAGACAACTGTTGATATCATTTTGTGGGTAATAACAATTACATAGTCAGGAGAGAAGTGAAGAACTGTGGCTAACATATCTCCATCTGGTAACTGTTTCAGTTATCTTCACACAATTATCACCCAAATTAGTAGCCACATGCTCCCCCTGTCAACTCAGAACAGCACCAATGCAAGGTTCTACTGGTAAAACTGATACCCAGGTTTCTCCCAACTAAAACATTCATAATACTATAACATAATTCAGGGCTCTCACACCCCATTTTGGGACTGGGGCCCGGGGCCCTTAGAATTTGGAAAAATAATGGTGTTTTCCTTAGAATTGGGAAAACTTGGGGTCTAAATTGGGAAAAAAAGATACTATTTTGTATTGGGAATTCGGCCCCAAATCTGGCAGATCGAGAGCCCTGTAAGTGATGACAGGTGATACACAACTACATCATTAACAAGAGGCCCATGGGCCTTAACGGTCATCTGACAAAAAGCAAGCCAAACCTAGAAAGTGGGTTGAGGTCATTCATTTGAACAAACTTGGTAGCCTCTCCTCCAAGCATCTTACAGGCCCAATATCAGCACTCATGGACTTTTGCTTGTTGAGAAGAAGTCGTTTGTATATTTTAACATATTTGACCCATGTGACCTTGAAAGTGGGTTGAGGTCATTCATTTGAATAAACTTGGTAGCCTTTCCTCCCAGCATGCTACAGACCCAATATCGGCACTCATAGACTTTTGCTTATTGAGATGAAGTCCTTTGTATATTTTAACATATTTGACCCCTGTGACCTTGAAAGTGGGCCAAGGTCATTCATTTGAACAAACTTTGTAGGGCTCCATGCCAGCATGCTATGGGCCAAGTATTAGCCCCCTAGGCCTTCTAGTATTTGAGAAGAAGTTATTTAAAGATTTTGACATATTTGACCCCTGCGACCTTGAAAGTTGTTCAAGGTCATTCATTTAAATAAACTTGGTAGCCTTTCCTCCCAGCATGCTACAGACCCAATATCGGCACTCATAGACTTTTGCTTATTGAGATGAAGTCCTTTGTATATTTTAACATATTTGACCCCTGTGACCTTGAAAGTGGGCCAAGGTCATTCATTTGAACAAACTTTGTAGGGCTCCATGCCAGCATGCTATGGGCCAAGTATTAGCCCCCTAGGCCTTCTAGTATTTGAGAAGTTATTTAAAGATTTTGACATATTTGACCCCTGTGACCTTGAAAGTTGTTCAAGGTCATTCATTTAAACAAACTTGATAGCCCTTCATCCCAGCATGCCACAGGCACAATATCAGCAATCTGAGCCTTTTGGTTATTGAGAAGAAGTTGTTTAAAGATTTTAACATATTTGACCCCTGTGACCTTTAAAGTGGGTCAAGGTCATTCATTTGAACAAACTTGGTAGTCCTTCATCCCAGCATGCTACAGGCCTTATTTTAGTTGCCTGGGCCTTTTGATTACTGAGAAGAAGTCCTTTGAAGATTTAAAGACATTTGACCCCTGTGACCTTGAATGAAGGTCAAGGTCATTCATTTGAACAAACTTGGTAGGGTTTCATCAAAGCAAGCTACAGGCTAAATATTAGTTGCCTGGGCCCTCCAGTTATTGAGAAGAAGTTGTTTGAAGATTTTAAGACATTTGACCCCTGTGACCTTGAATGAAGGTCAAGGTCATTCTTTTTAACAAACTTGGTAGGGCTTCATCAAAGCAAGCTACAGGCCAAATATTAGTTGCCTGGGCCTTCCAATTATTGAGAAGAAGTCGTTTGAATGAAAAGTTTACGGACGGCGCACGGCGCACGACGACGGACGAAGCATGATGACTATAGGTCATCGGACCTTTCGGGTCAGATGACCTAAAAATCTAAAACAGGACAAATACTTTCAACTTCTGTCACATCAAACTCTTGGAAAAAACTCACGTTTCATGTTAAGCAAGCTAACATAATTAGTTGATAACAAAAAACTTGGAAGTTATCTGGTTAATTTGTTTGTTGTATAAGTTTTTAACAATTGCTTGCTAAACATATATATGTGTAATTACATTAAACTACATGCAGGAGGTCCACTGCATACATTTTACTTCAAAAGGGATTAAGCATCTTGCCCAACAACATATTACCATGACAGCACAGGACAGTCTATAATCTCAGGTCCCTGCGAAAATAAACCTGTCTTGGATAGGGATCTTATCACATACTTTGGATCTTTACCAAAGGTTGCCAAAATCTGATGCCCTTTCCAATGAGCTAGTGGCCTCATTTTGGTCAAAGATGCAAAAGAGTAAAGATCTGCCTTTATTGTAAGTTTTACCAGAGCTCAAACAATTTGCTGCAACAGTCCTTGGCCATGTCCCAATTAAAAATTTTGTATACAGAGGTGTTATAAATAAGAATCAAGAGGTGTGTGTGGGTGTACAGTAAAATTCCAGCAACACAATGTCTGGGTACCTGCATCCTCCTGATAACAACATCACAGAACTTATTGAATTAAAACATTGATGAAGGTATCAGACTCCTGATCACAACATCAGAAGACAAGATATAAAACTGCTGAGGGTACCAATCTCCTGATCACAACATCAGATGCCTAGTTATAAAACTGCTGAGGGTACCAGCCTCCTGATCACAACATCAGAGGACTAGTTATAACACTGCTGAGGGTACCATCCTCCTGATTACAACAGCAGAGGCCTAGTTAAAAAAACTGCTGAGGGTACCAGCCTCCTGACCACAACATCAGAAGACTAGTTATAAAACTGCTGAGGGTACCAGCCTCCTGACCACAACATCAGAAGACTAGTTATAAAACTGCTGAGCCTCCTGATCACAATACTAGATTACTTTACTCTGCTGTGGGTACCAGCCTCCTGATCACAATACTAGAGGACTTTACACTGCTGAGGATACCAACATTCTGATAGAACCAGTCTTCTGATCACAACATCAGAGAGCAGTACAATACCTATCATAATCATGTAATTATATCAAACATAAACGATCTAGCAGAAATGAATTCCACTGGTGATGGGACCGATGAACAGCAAGTAAATGATAACATACACATAAAAATGATAATTTGTTTCCAGAATAATTGTCTGAATGCCAACCATGGCATGAGTTGCTTATTTCCCTCCATATTTCCAAAAAAGCAATTCAATATCATTAGTCTAAACAGATTATATAGCATTTTGAGTATCATTTTTATGTAGAAAGTATTTTGACATTTGTTTGAATTCTTTGTCAAACATATATATAGCAAGCACAAAACATACAGTGAACTGTTACATACAGAATATTCCAGACAATACATGATCGCAATAACAATTCGTAAATCCACAGTTCATGATTAATAAATCACTAATGTTAAATTTGTATACCTTGAAAACTTCTGCGAAAAATCCACAGCCAATTTTCTTCAGATTAAAATCATCTAATCGGGTGAGTGATGAAACAGCATGCCGTAGAGCCTGACAAGACGGTCCTGGTGTTCTTGTTTTCATTTCTTCTGTTGGAGAATTTTCTTTATTTTCTTGATCGTCAGACCGTCTGGCCGATTGGAAGTCGGACACAGCAATGGTCTTTGATCGTCTTAATGGTCGAATGCTGGTCATATTGCCAACCAATGTCATGATCTAGTATTAAGTGTTTCCCAACAACATCTCACATCCCTGGAGTGACACACGCGACCACAGGACATGAAGTGATATCTTCCTGTATGTGGTTTCTGTAAAATATTGAAAACCCAGTTGTATCATTTCCCCATAATACTGAAGTGAACAAAGTCATAAAAAAAACACCCAATTTTCGAGCAGCACATTCTTTCTAACTTACTAAACTGTGTACAATATGCATTTCATGACAGGAAATTGTATGAAATACACGTGCATCATATCAAATACCATGAATTCTATAATAACTTCATGTATGCAGACCAAACACTGAATGACTGTGTGAACTCTTTCAATACACAACGACCTCCCTTTACCGAAATGTATCATGTTTTGTCAAATTATCAATTGCAATCGTCTGACTTCAGTATTTGATAAATTTCTTACGTCATACGTGTATCTCTGCTCCATCTGTACCGTGACATTGAGTTTAAACGCTACATTGTCACAAATAAATCCCGGGTTTCACTGCACTGCGCTCTCGCTTTCAAGCTCAACGAGAACTTGTAAACTTTCTGTTGCATTGTGGGTAACTTAACCTTGCAGGGGCTGATATAAATGATATTCTGGTAGACCATTTTATCCTAAAATCATACGTTTGGTGGTATTTCTTCTTGTATATTTTGGAAATGTTTAATTTGAAACTTAGAAATTGAATTTTCTTTTTGGTATATAAATATTACTTTTTTTCTGTCCTAAAGAAATATCAGATACCCTCAATGGCACCCCTGCACTAATTGTAAAAACTAAACGGGCAAATCGAGAAAACGGTACTGGAAAACATATCCGAATTTTTTAAATGGGCTAGCGTTGTTCGTATTTATTCGTGGCTGATCTACATAATAAAGATAAATCTGACTGGTTCTAGTTTAGGTGGAAGCTTCAGACTACTTGTAAATAGAAATCAACATAAACAACTTCATAGTATATATGTGTAACAGTTAACCGTAAGGGTTGAAGTAAACAATGTAATTTAACCGTGTTAAAACCTGTATGCAGGTTGTACTTTGTTAAAGCCAAGCTACGGTAATGTTATTATTCATATGGCGTATTGCGCAAAGTAATTTGAAGACAAATGAAACAAAATATTCAAACAAGTGCCGCAGTATCTACACTCTCTAATAGATCCTATTTTTTTTTCAAACGTCAGACTGTCCACTTTTGGAAATTATCCGTGACTGCGGGACACGGCGAGTAACTTGATACATATGACTTGATACTTCAAATGACTTATAGTTTATAGTATGTTTCAATATTTCACCACGATTTTAATGTAGCGGAACGGACGAGAACTTTTTCCAATCCATCCAATTTCAAATCCTTTTGGGGATTAGAAACAATTACTTTCAATTTATATTCAAATTTCAATTAAAGTAAACAATGCGTGTTGATGGTGTTACACAAAACTATTACATATGTATTGATTTAGCTCAAACACGAAGAAAAGTGTAGCGAAGGAAGAAAAATGACTTATAAATAATTAACCTTCACTTATAAATTTTCCTGTCTATACCGATTTTTTTTTTTTTTTTTCGTTTGAAGAAAAATCTTAACATGTTGTTCTATCCCAAAATCTATTACTATTTACAGCTACTCGTTTGTAAACGAGGGAGGGAGGGAAGGAGAGAGAGGCGTGTCTAAATCAGTATTTGTGCGACACGCGGAAATAATCTACAAAAAAAAACAAACCTTGTAAGAAAATAGTAGGTCATCAAAGGTCCACCCCATCGACATTTTGTACTTGAGTGTATTGCGCATTACAGGCGGGTTATAATGGCTTAAAAGAAACATTGTTTCGTTGTTGTTATTGTCATCCCATTAGAGAAATATATAGTAATCGCATATAATTTGGTCACGGACGTATAATATCTATGTACGTATAATTACAATATCTATATTATACGTATAATTGCAATACATATATTATACGTATAATCAAAATATCTATATTATACGTATAATTACAATATCTACATTATACGTATATTACAATATCTATATTTACGTATAATTACAATATCTATATTATACGTATAATTTTGTCAGTAACGGTAGTTAAGAATGGCTAATTTTCAATTTCTATTTTATATATGCATCAGTATAAACAATATATAAACGTTAGAATTTTGTCAGTTACAGTTAAGAATGGCTAATTTTCAATTTCTTTTATATATGCATCAGTGAAACAATAAAACGTTTGAACTGAGTCATGTCGCCAATTCCGTCCGTCCACCCTTCTGTGTCCGGAGCATGACTTGCCCAGAGATAAGCAAGGATTATGAAACTTTATGTCTACATTAGTCATACAAAGGGAATGTGCAGTGTAGCAAATTCAGGGCCCTCGAACCCTCAATTACAGAGTTATTGCTCTTTGATAAAAGTTCAGCTGTCAGGAGCATAACTTTGCTTGCATTTAAGTTAGGATTATGAAACTTGGTGTAAACATTGATCATTACTAAGCCAATGTGTAGTGTATCAAATTCAGAAACCGCAACCTCTTGATTGCAGACTTATTACCCTTTCAATTTTTGCTTCTATAGCACATTTTTTAATTGCATGCATTTAATATAGGATTCTGAAACTTGGTGGATACATTGATCATACTAAGACAATGTGCATTGTACCGAATTCAGGTCCTAAACACCTCATTTACAAAGTTATGGTCCTTAAATATCTTGCCCAGAGCACAACTTTGCTCAAGTTGCATTGAAAATAGGATAATCAAACTTCGTGTATACATTGGGTATACGAGGAGAGTGTCTATTGCACAAAGTATATTACAGAGTTTTCGTCCTTTGTTATTTTATTCTTATTTTTTTTTTGTCTACAGCTAAACTTTGAAATGAGATGTATACATCAGTCATACAAATGCATGGTGCAGTGGGGACAAAGTCTGGGCCAATGATGCCTCAGTACAGAGTTACTGCCCCACGTTAAATCTTTGTGTCATGACCATGGCTTTGCTTGCATTCAATAAGAATAACGAAACGTGTGCTATAAAACAAATTAAGAATAATGGTCCTTTGTTAAACTTTTGTGTCCAATAAGGTTGTTTTCGATACGCATCGCGTAGTACAGTGGAAAAAGAAATTTGAAATAACGATCGTAGGTTATTTTTATCTTTTCTTCCCAAATATTACAAAAGTTTGCATTGCAAGGGAGGTAACTTTCTAAAGTACTTTGTAATTTTGCAGCTTCTGTTAAGTAATCTATTACGAGAGAGAGAAAAGTAGTAAACGCCAGTATTAGTTTAATTTTATCGGGCATGCTAAACATGTTTGTACATTAAGTCTTATTACCCATTAAATGATAGACTTAATAAGAGTTCATGCCTATATGGCTAAGCAAAGTTATTCCGGAAAAGTTATCCTTTTCGACTCGATTTTTATGACGTCACACAATATGGCGACCACCATGGATGGTAGGGAGGCAGAGGGAACAGAAACAACTACCAATGATCGTTCCAGCCCTTCTGCTACGATGGACTCAAATTTAAGTGAAGACTCAAGCAGCAACTGTAAAGATTTAGATTTGCTGAACGAAAGTCGCAAGCAATTTCATCTGGGTAGAAAAATAGCAATTAAAAACATCCCAGTCACAACCAACGAGGTACAGTAACAATTTTGAATTTCAAAACTACATAATTAGGATTTTACCGCCTTTTGTAGGAGATCCATGTTTCGTACTTTGGTTAACTGTTAAGACAGATATAGCGCATTTTCTTTAAGGAAAGGGATTGCTGTCTCGAAATTACTAAGTACACAATTTTCAATGTCTTGTATTGTTAAACAACATATTGTTTTGGACGGATTTGTGATCAAATATTGATGATTTTTCATTTGAAAGAGTGAAAATAGTTCCATTTTACTTAAAAGAAAACAATCTGTTAGCAATATATATATAAAAAAAGTACTTTTGGACCAGGAATAAGTAGAACTTTGTGAACTCTAAATGATCATATTGTATTTTGTTAATTTTCAGGAGGTTGATCTTTTCCTTGGTGAATATGAACTAGAAGAGATCAATATGAAAAGCGAAGAAAAAGAAGGTTAGTGCTTTAGTATGATATCTAGATATAAACCAGGTACTTAAAGGAAGCTCACATTGTTTTAAGATGCAAGTTCATTAAATAAACTGTAATTAAGCTCAAAGTTTTATTAGAATTATACTGGAATTGGTTACTGTTTTCACAGGCTTGAAAGATTTTTGGATATAATTGCTGTGTAAGATTATGTTATACAAGGCAGGTTTTCCACCAAAGCGCCATTTAAATGACCGAGTCTTCTGACTCTTATTCTGTACAGCCCCATCTTCCAAAAAAAAAAATATATATATATATATAGTTTTTTTTTATTCACATGTTGCCACATTCAGTAATTCATTTAATGCATGATAGATTATTGACTGAAAAATCAACACAGTGTAAAGAATCTAGTCTCTTGGAATTGCTTGTCAGAGTTGCTGCCCATTATTATATTCAAAGGAAGTTTGGCCATTCAATGGAGTAAGTGGTACAGTCAGTAATATAGCTATGTAACTGAGCCTTTTGGTTAGTGAAAATGTACTGGAATAGGTTGATCTGACATTAGGGTTCTGTTTGACCTATAGAATTAACATTAATGCTTAGTACACCGTTGTAAATTCTACTACTCATTGCTAAATTAGCTCTGTTTTCGTCATATATATTATATACAGTTTTTCTGTATGTTTAATACTGTATGTGTTATAACTTAGACATATTATATACATGTGTACCAAAATGCCATAAGTGTTAGTGATATTAAAGACTTTATCAAATTCGCTGTGTTCACAGGATGTAATGCTAACAGTTAAAGAATTTAAAGTTTTATTTATTCCCATTGAGATATGTGAATATATATATTCATAATGAGGATTTGTAATGCTTGAAGATAACCTGCAAATGTCTGCAAAGTGCCATTGTTGCTGTGTTGATGTTTTTCTATAACTATTTCATATACACTTTTTGAATATCTTAATGAAATAAATTTATCCTTTCACAGCTGTGGTTACTTTAAAAAATGGAAAGGATGCAGAAAGCATATTTGAAGAATTAAATCAAGCAAGAATGCTGGACCACACAATTACCATATCGATCTTAGCAACAGATCGCCTGTTATGTATAGCTCATCTTCCACTTGATTTTACCGACAAGGAACTGAGGACAATGGTCTACCCTCTTGGTACTTTTCTAAAGTGCTTCATGTTCCGAGCAGATGACACAGGTATTTGATAACATTATATTTTTGGAGATCATACAGAAGCACAAAGTCCTGAAACAGATTGTTTGTATTAATGCACATATAAGACAGACTAGGGGTTAAAGATTGATGTTAAATCTGAGGGGTATAGGAAATCTTTGTGATCATTACAGACAAGATGTATTTATGTTTTGTATATATTTCCTGAGCCTTTATCTACTTAATTTCATTACATTCATTCAGTTCAAGAAATTACCTTCATGGTTGCCAATCAACTGTATTAAAACAAATATTAAATTTTTTTATGGAATGTTTTGACTATCAGGATTTTTAAGTTGAGGGTAGTGGAATTCTCAATGATATACCAATAGTGCTGTGACGTGGTACAAATCTTTACTTTTTTTGTTGTGTTTTCTCAGGCCAAAGTAAAGGCTATGGCCTGGTAGAGTTTAAGACCAGTCTTGAAAGAACAAAACAAATAGCAGAAGAATTAGACTGGAGAGAAGTGCAAGGACACAAGATCAACTGTGATGTCATCAGTCAACAAACAAGCTCTGCCTACCAGCACCTCCACTCTCGTTGTCTACTTGTAGATAATCTCCCTTTGGATTACAAAGATAATTCCCACTTCAGGGAAATTTTCAGCTGCCACGCAAGTCCCATATATTGCCAGGTGAGCTCATATCAATCACTCCTCTAAGAAAGTTGACACAGAATAATATCCGTCTCATGTGTCTAACATTATAACATGACTTTATATGGTATGTAGTTATATTGGTGTTGTTGTCTACAGAATTCAACATGAATACCTTGATCTGTGTTCAGCAGTAATCATTCTTCACTGGTATTCATAACTGCTGGTAGCTTCCTTACCTTAACCTTAAGTCTCTCTGTGCCAGGAGGCACACAAGGCTTGGACATCCCTTCTCTACTGTTTTTGATCTTCGGCGGCACAGCGTGCAGAGTTCCAGGTACTCCAGCCAGCACCATTCCACTCCACCTCCACTTTTCTTCGCCAAGTTGTTTTTGGGTGGCCTTTTTTCCTTTTTCCCTCTCTTTTGTCCACCCGAGGGCCACAGCACTGTCATCTCCTTCCTCAGGACGTGTCAAATCCAGCTCCATCTCCTTCTTCTCACCTCCTGGCTCATATTCACTGTCCCTGCCATCTCCAGAACTGTCTTATTCGAGATGTGCTGCTCCCATCGAATCCTGAAGATCCTTCTCAGACACTTATTTTGAAAGATATCTAGTTTTCCTTCCTCTCCCTTGGTCAATTTCCAAGTCTCACACCCATAGAGCAACACCAATATTATGAGGCTCTTAAAAAGGGAGACTTTGACCTTTCTGTTGATGTCTCCAGCTTGTCAGATGTTTGATAGTCGTTTGAACTGTCCACTTGCTAAGGCTACTCTCTTTTTAACATCTACTGTTCCAGGGCTCTCGATCTGCCAGTTTTGGGGCTGATATTCGGCTCCATTCCCAATGCAAAATAGTCTCTTTTTTCCCAATTTAGACCCCAAGTTTTCCCAATTCTAAGGAAAACACAGCTATTTTTCCCAATTCTAAGGGCCCCGGGCCCCAGTCCCAAAATGGGGTGTGAGAGCCCTGTGTTCCTCCTCCATCCTTTGTCACATTGGCTCACTGCTGGTAGCTGATGTAAGTTAAATAATTGTGAAATATATTTTTGAAAATCATAATAAAAAGGATACAAACAAGCTTGCTGGGCAAGTTTTTCTTTAAATACAGTGTAGTTACTGTGATGTTATTCAAACATGGTTTGAAGCAGGTTGAACTGAAGGCCAGCGACCTCTTTGATTACACTATTATTGTCTTAAACTAAGTAGTGGTCTACCTTTGTAAAACTCATACTAAAGGAATCATAGCCCTTTTGTTATGGTATTGTGTGAGTATGTTGTGGTCTCCCTTTGTACAGGTTGAACTGATAAAAGGATATCCTCTTGGTTATGGAATCATTGTGACTGTGATATACTGAAGGACAGGTAGTGCTGAAGATATCATTCACTTTTCTGATCATGTATTCTCTTCCTTTGTACAGGTTGTATTAAAAGAAGGGGAGCCCCTTGGTTTTGGTATTATTGAGTATGCTGACCCAAAGGATGCACAGACTACACAGAAACAGCTAAATGGCTACAAACTACAACAAACAACCCTCAGGGTCACCTATTGTATTCCAGGAAAGTCTGCTGTGGAGATGTGTAGCAAACTGCTTGTCAAGTTTGTGAGTTCATTAACAATATAAACTATTATAGACATTTCCTGTGTAAGATCATAAGTCACTTACTTTGTTTCTAAATAGTAATTTATTTTATTCATTAATTTTCATCCCTTTTTGTACCTAAACTGATATTCTATTCCCTGAAAAACTTTTGTGCTCAAGATTTTTAGCATTTTTTTTTTTTTTTGATGATGATGATGATGATGATGATGATGATGATGATGATGATGATGATGATGATGATGATGATGAGGATGATGATGATGATGATGATGATGATGATGATGATGATGGTGATGGTGATGGTGATGGTGATGATGATGATGATGATGATGATGATGATGATGGTGATGGTGATGGTGATGGTGATGATGATGGTGATGGTGATGGTGATGGTGATGGTGATGGTGATGGTGATGATGATGATGATGATGATGATGATGATGATGATGATGATGATGATGATGATGATGATGATGATGATTGACTTATATTGCTTCTGGCAGATTTTAATGTTTCATTGAGATACATTGACATTGTTTATCCTCCTCTATGACAGGATGAAGTATCCTCCTCCAAGCCCAGTTTGTTGCCAGACCCAATATTCCCCAATCCTTCTGTGCTGAACCATCCCCTTGTGCTGGATCTCTGTGACCAGCATACTCAGTGTAAGTTTCAGGATATCTTACTTACACATCAAATTAAGTAAAGGAGGGAGGGAGTAGGTCAGAGGGGATGAATCACAGACGCCAAAAGTATTTCAAATTAGATCCTAATTTACTCATTACCTCTCTTTACAATGAGTTGTATATTGATTTTAAAACAGTAATTTTGATATAACATGGGCTTTATCAGATGATTTTGATATGACTTATACTATATCAGATGAAAACAAAGATTTTGATGTGGTGTTGTCTAATTCAAATGAAGATTGAGATTTTGATATGACAGAGACTATATCAGATAAAGATATAGATTTTGATATGACAGAGACTTTATCAGATAAAGATTTTGATATGACAGAGACTTTATCAGATAAAGATTTTGATATGACAGAGACTATATCAGATAAAGATATAGATTTTGATATGATTTTGATATGACAGAGACTTTATCAGATAAAGATTTTGATATGACAGAGACTATAAAGATAAAGATTTTGAAATGACAGAGACTTTATCATATAAAGATAAAGATTTTGATATGACAGAGACTTTATCAGATAAAGATAAAGATTTTGATATGATGTAGACTTTATCTGATAAAGACAGTAATTTTGATGTAATAGAGATTATAGCAGGTAAACAACAGGGATTTTGATGTTGTAGACTATATCATACAAAGAAAGTAATTTTAAAGTGATGTGGACTATTTTAGAGGTAGACAGGCATTTTTAATGATGTAAGACAATATAAGATAAAATGTTTTGATAAAACATTTATTGTTGCAGTGATGACACATTTTAAAACTGCCCTTCACCAGCTTCAGCAAACTTATGTCACACAAATGAACTTGAAATCATCAAAGCCAGGTAAATAAGTACATGAATAAGGTAAAGGGTTTTTTTAAAAAAATTTTTTATTGAAATATTGAACTTTTTAACAATATCAATATTAATACACATTTATATTGTGTACCTGTATTCAGCAAAGATATTTAAACATGTTAAATATTTGATGTTTGTTGTTTGTATTCGACCCGCTGAATCAATAGGTTTTCAAACTGATTTTGTGCAGAAGCATTTTGATGGACAGAGTTCAAGTCCAGTGTATATTACAGAATTGTTATACAGGATTCAATCTTTCATAAATACATATCACTACTCAAGTGATTCTAGCATTACAGATGTATAGTGATAATGGACAAATGAAAATCATAGATTCAACTGTAACTTTAAATACTGCTGTATGAATTGTTATTTATTAAGGTATCTTTTATAAAAGTTTTTAAACTTCTTCCATTCATTGACATACCTCTAGGTTTACTGGGACCAGCTCCATCTATAGGCATGAGTCCATTGATGAACCCCAACATGCAGCTGGGTCTGATCATACTTCTGGCTTTACAGACACAGGCTCGGTCACAGCACCAGGTGAGTGTTGATTACACTTCTGAGTCTACAGATGTGATCTTGTTTACATTGATATAAACCTTGTTTACATTGATAGAAGTCTTGTTTACATTGATATAAGCCTTTTTGACATGATATAAGTCTTTTTAACATTGATATAAGTCTTTTTAACATTGATATAAACCTTGTTTACATTGATATAAGCCTTTTTAACATGATATAAGTCTTTTTAACATTGATATAAACCTTGTTTACATTGATATAAGTCTTTTTAACATTGATATAAACCTTGTTTACATTGATATAAACCTTGTTTAACATTGACCTTGTTTACATTGATATAAACCTTGTTTACATTGATATAAACCTTGTTTACATTGATATAAGCCTTGTTTACATTGATATAAACTTTGTTTACATTGATATAAACCTTGTTTACATTGATGTAAGCCTTGTTTACATTTATATAAACCTTGTTTACATTTATATAAGCCTTTTTAACATTGATATAAGCCTTTTTAACATTGATATAAGCCTTGTTTACATTGGTATAAGCCTTGATTACATTGATATAAGCCTTTTTAACATTGATATAAACCTTGTTTACATTGATATAAATCTTGTTTACATTGATATAAGCCTTGATTACATTGATATAAGCCTTTTTAACATTGATATAAACCTTGTTTACATTGTGACATTGATATAAGCCTTTTTACTGATATAAACTTTGTTTACATTGATATAAACCTTGTTTACATTGATATAAATCTTGTTTACATTGATAGAAGTCTTGTTTACAGTGACTTTTCTCTTTTCCAGGTTGTTGGTCCATTGAACTTACTTCCCTTGCTTGGTAACCAGCAATCAGTAAGTTGATTTACAAACAAGGACTAGAGTGGTTTCTTGGCTCTGGATACACAACTGTGATATTTTCATTCTGTCAAAGATATCATTAATTTGTTAGATGTAGATCAACATCCAATCATGGCTCTGTCTTTACCCAGTGATTATAATTTTACCACCTTAAAATTTAAAATGTCTTTAAACAAAATTTATGTTAATTTTTCAGTAATAGTTTTAATTTGGTTTCATTTAATATACTTACATGTGAAAACAGAGATTAAGTTATATATTTTCAAAAGCATCCTTGAATGATATATAGAGAGCAATGATATTTATTACAATAGCCATTTTTTTATTTATCCGCAGGGTGAAAAACCATCAATACTTGGGGATCCTGTCTCAGCTCAGGCCAACATTATACTACAAAACCTTATGTCTCAGTTATCACCTTCTTCTACAAACTCTCCAACAGGGGGCAGCACTGGCGCATCAAAATCAGAGGAGAGTTCCACATCACCATTATTACAATCACTGGCTTTTAACATTCAAAATCTCAACTTGGGCTGGCTAACAAATCTCGGCCAGCTGTCGTCTTCCGCTCAATTCAGACAACAATTAAATGCTGGCATAAAACCATTAATGAAAGCAGAGAATAAACACATGCCTCCTCCTCTTATACCACCAAACTTTAAAGGTCATTTTGATAGAGACATGACCAAATCTAGTTCACCAGGAGGACTTTTGGGGGAAGCCCCGAGGCATGACCAAATGAAAATGTCACATAATTTCATGAATAATATAAAGATGTTGGTTGGTCAGAAGAAGATAATGCAATCGAATGAAACACCAAGTCTTTTGGACGGAAATTTCTCTCGTCAAAGTGGTCAAGGATCATCTGGGCATGGTAGACATGGACCGTCCAGATATAGTCAGAGTGGTTATAGACAATCTGGTTATGATCAACACAGTGGTCAAGGTGGTGATCGACTATCAGCTGACCACTATAGCCAAGGGGGTGGTGATCCCTCAGGCGACGGTTATGTCCCCAGTAAACAGCAGCCTAATAATCAGGCCACTAAAGGCATCAAGTCTTTGTTGGGAGAACCACCATCTCTAGTACCCAAGAGACTACCTAGTCTTGGAGATGGACTGTTGCCAGAGCCGGGACGAGGCTCAGACTATGGTGCTCACCAGGACAGCTATCCTACATCAGGACAGGTATAAACAGATTGTCAGTTCACAACACAATCTCATTGAAGTAAAATCTAGAAATCAGAGATAAGGACTCAAACTAATGACTGGGGTGTTTGCATGATTTTACTATCCAGAAAGTTTTAATGAAAGAGGTTAACACGGTCTGGACAGTCATGTCTGGTTGAGAGGTCATGTTTTCAATTTAAAACAAAGTCAGGAATGATGTAGCATTTGGAATCCAATCAAGGAGGAGTTCCATGTATGTCATTTCAATCAATAATTTACATGAAAATAAGTAATTAACATAACCCTGTAGTTCTTATCTGTTGAATGATCAATATTAGCACATTTATTTGCTAACTTGAAAAGGCTAAGGTTATCTCTTAAACCATTGTTGTCTCCGACAAAACCATTGTTGTCTCCGACAAAACCATTGTTGTCGTAGACAAAAACATTGTTGTCTTAGACAAAACCATTGTTGTCTTAGACAAAACCATTGTTAGCTTAGACCAAAAACCATTGTTGTCTTAGACAAAACCATTGTTAGCTTAGACTAAACCATTGTTGTCTTAGACACAACCATTGTTGTCTTAGACCAAAAACCATTGTTTTAGACAAAACATTGTTCTCTTAGACGAAACCATTGTTGTCTTAGACAAAACCTTTGTTGTCTTAGACAAAAATATTGTTATCTTAGACAAAACTATTATTGTCTTAGATAAAAACATTGTTATCTTAGACAAAACCATTGTTGTCTTAGACAAAACCATTGTTGTCTTAGACAAAACCTTTGTTGTCTTAGACAAAAATATTGTTATATTAGACAAAACTATTGTTGTCTTAGATAAAAACATTGTTATCTTAGACAAAACCATTGTTGTCTTAGACAAAACCATTGTTGTCTTAGACAAACCATTGTTGTCTTAGACAAAACCATTGTTGTCTTAGACAAAACCATTGTTGTCTTAGACAAAAACATTGTTGTCTTAGACAAAACCATTGTTATCTTAGACAAAACCATTGTTGTCTTAGACAAAACCATTATCTTAGACAAAACCATTGTTGTCTTAGACAAAACCATTATCTTAGACAAAACCATTGTTGTCTTAGACAAAACCATTATCTTAGACAAAACCATTGTTGTCTTAGACAAAACCATTATCTTAGACAAAACCATTGTTGTCTTAGACAAAACCATTATCTTAGACAAAACCATTGTTATCTTAGACAAAACCATTGTTGTCTTAGACAAAACCATTATCTTAGACAAAACCATTGTTGTCTTAGACAAAACCATTATCTTAGACAAAACCATTGTTGTCTTAGACAAAACCATTATCTTAGACAGCTGAATATATATTTAAAAAAGAGAAAATCATAATATTTTATCAAAGTACAAGGAGTAAAGTTTCGGAAATTTTATAGGAACATTTCCCCAGACTATTGTATGGTGGATATCTGATCGTTGATGTGGTTAGTAGGTTAAAAACAATGTTAAGTATGTATTTGTATTGTTACACTTGTAAGAAGCTGTCAGAGTCCCAAATTCATCAGGGCCCTTGCTGACATGTCAGGGTTCTGTTTTCATTTTACTTCTAAATATTCTATCTTTCATTATGTTATACATATCTGTTAAACTTTCTATATGTCATTGTGTCATTTGTTCTCCACAGAGTGACTATAAGAGGAAGACTTATGATGATCAGAGTTATGGTGGCAGGACGGTAAGTTTACTGTGTTGAGTGACGGTAAGTTTACTGTGTCGATGATTTTAAGTATAAGACATGATTATCAGAGCTATGGTTTCAAAGGTATAAATTTATTCTCTGTGTTTGCAGTATGTAAGCATCACTGGTGAGAGTGAATGAGGTATGAAAGAACAAAGCACCATGACATATAGTTTTGAATTAAAAAAATCATTCAGCATAATTGTGTTAACAGGGAGATAACTCCAGCAAAGATGATTCTGGATATGGTGGTTACAGTCGATATGGGTCTACCTCCTACGACAACTACTACAGTGACAGCAGCTTCAACTCAGGCCGGGCTGACTCCAGCTTCAATTCACAGGTCAGAATCAAACCAGTTTATCTAATAGATATCTCTCAGGCATTGTTATATGCATAAGGACTATTAATAATTATAAAAATACTACCTCCTTTGTCTTTCAAGTGAAATCAATGGGGATATCCAAACAGATAATGCAGTCATAAGATGATATGTATTTATTATATAAGTAAGGACAAACAAATATTTTTTTGTCTTCTTTTATATTTTTTAGTCAATTTTTTTCAAAATGTGCTTCTACAAACTTTTACAATCTTGAAAATTCAGCTTATCTAAATTGAAAAATTCAATATCAACAAATTCGGTATAATATCATGGTCAGGTAATACAAATATTTAAAATATTCTTATGGTGGTGACAATTTTCTGATGACAGTTGCCTAGCGATGGTGATGATTGTCTGATGACAGTGACAAGTGTCCAGTGACGGTGACAGTTGCCTAGTGACGATGACAATTTTTTGATGACAGTGACAAGTGTTCAATGACAGCGACAGTTGCCTAGTGACGATGACAATTTTTTGATGACAGTGACAAGTGTTCAATGACAGCGACAGTTGCCTAGCGATGGTGACAATTGTCTGATGACAGTGACAAGTGTTCAATGACAGCGACAGTTGCCTAGTGACGATGACAATTTTTTGATGACAGTGACAAGTGTCCAGCGACAGTGACAGTTGTCTGGTGATGATGACAATTATCTAATGACGTTGACAAGCCTTTATCCACATTTTATTTTCAGAGTAACTCAAGTCTACTATCACGATCTGGCAGTACTAGCTACGACAAAGGTTATGACTTCTACCAACAGCAGGAAAACACTACGGTAAGCTACCCGTTCAGTGTCCATTTACTTTCAAAGGATTTAATGTTTGGTAAAGAATGCAGAGCACTTCAGGACTTTACTGAGAGAAAAGGAAAGCACTAGCTCAGTCTGTTGAGCACTGAGCTTTGCAACTTCAGGCAAAGATCCTAAGTATGTGATTGAATTATCTCTACTGGGTTCTGTTTATGTTTCTCAAAAAGCTACAATATGGATTGTCTGTGCTGTAGTGGTTGTGTCCTCGCACGAAACACTTTAACTAGGTTGCTTTGGATCACATGCAAGTGGTCTCTCATAAGTTGTGAAGTGAGGTAATTAGCATGAACTCCCACTTTAAAATGACCTTTGCTGTTGATGAGATGAGAAACTCCGAAACAATCAATTAAAACACACTACTAAGATAGAGTTTAGGTCCTCACTGAGTTAAGGTTGCTATAGTTTATGTACCAGTGAGATTACTGATGACCATTTCAGCAGCATGACCTCTTTTTTTTCAGAGCACTGATTCTGATTATGAGAGCATGGCGGCCAAGGCTATGGCTTACGCTGCAGCAACAAACACTGGGTACCAAGGTATGATGGGAGATAACAATGGCTACTACAACAGTGATGGGAACTATGACAGCTATACAAGTGTAAAGGGAGGTAACTATGGTAGTTACAGTGATAATGGTGTAGATAGTGATAAATACAGACAATACACTGGTTCTAGTGAGGATATGGGTAGTTATGCACCCTACAACAATAACAGCAGAGACAGCTACAAAAATGATGTCTATCAGTCATCACAAATGAATCGCCAGAACGATAAATCATCTCTTCTTGGCACACCTAAAGGTCGTGCTCCACTGCCACGGAGTCGGCAGGGAGTGCCACCTACTAGTAACACTTCAGTTAATCCATTATTATCTACACCGGGTGGTGGCTCACAAGGTCTCCTGGCCACACCAGGGGGAAGTCCCCAGAGTCTCTTATCAGCACCAGGAGGTAAATCCAGCTCACCTCATCCCCTCCTGTCAACACCCCCAGGTGTATCTGCCTTTTCCAACACAGAAGGCAGACAGACAACCAGTCTGTTAGGGGACAAACCACGATATGTAGGAGGTTCTTCAGGCAAACCATACCAGTCAGACCTCCCAGGCCTTCTAGGCAGCCGGCCCTCAGGAGCAGCAGGTCTTTTAGTAAGTATATAGAATTGCAAAACCAAAATACTCTTGTTAGGGTATAGATAAGAATGACATATGTAGTGACTAATCATGAATTGGACTCCAAAACAGACTTACATAATATGTAGCTTTATATTCACATTACACATAAAGATTTTGGTGGCTGTCAATCAATATTTAAAATGTAACATTTTTAGTGGTAGATTTGGGAAGTGTTATTTTACACACTTTGTATTGTAAATTATCCAAAAATTGAAGACAATGATTTGCATTCTGAAAACCTTACTGGTAGATAGAGACAGTAGGTATGGGATCTCCAGACAGGTGGTTAGAGACAGTAGATATGGGAACTCCAGACAGGTGGTTAGAGAGAGTAGATATGGGAACTCCAGACAGGTGGTTAGAGACAGTAGATATGGGAACTCCAGATAGGTGGTTAGAGACAGTAGATATGGGAACTCCAGATAGGTGGTTAGAGACAGTAGATATGGGAACTCCAGACAGGTGGTTAAAGACAGTAGATATGGGAACTCCAGACAGGTTGTTAGAGACAGTAGATATGGGAACTCCAGACAGGTGGTTAGAGACAGTAGATATGGGAACTCCAGACAGGTGGTTAAAGACAGTAGATATGGGAACTCCAGACAGGTTGTTAGAGACAGTAGATATGGGAACTCCAGACAGGTGGTTAGAGACAGTAGATATGGGAACTCCAGACAGATGGTTAGAGACAGTAGATATGGGAACTCCAGACAGGAGGTTAGAGACAGTAGATATGGGAACTCCATACAGGTGGTTAGAGACAGTAGATATGGGAACTCCAGACAGGTGGTTAGAGACAGTAGATATGGGAACTCCAGACAGGTGGTTAGAGACAGTAGATATGGGAACTCCAGACAGGTGGTTAGAGACAGTAGATATGGGAACCTCTTAGAAGTAGTGAGAGACAGTAGATTTGGGAACACTTTACAGGTATGGAATTGATGTCGGAACCCATCACATAAACGTAAGTGTCACAAGGATGTTAATCACTCAATCAAAAATATTTACCCAATTACATAGTTTTTAGAGCTTCGTGAAGCAAGGATCATGAAACTTTGTATGTATACATTGGTCGTACAATGAAAGTGTGCAATGTACCACAATCAGGACCCGGAACCTCATAAAATTATTCTCCTTTGTTAAAATATTTTTGTCCAAAGCATATCATTTTAACCAGGATAATGGAACTGCATGATGTGCAGGACTCCCAATCCCTCAACTACGGAATGATTGCTTTTTTGTTGAAACTTTGTTTTCAAAAAAGTTGGTTTTTGGGGAGCATTCCACAGTTTCGCTGATATTCTGGTAGATTTTATCAAATATCTTTTCTTTAAGTTTCAAAGACTATTCTTAAACAGTAGAAAGGTAATTATGTTGTAAATCGATATTTTGACGAAGTCGCATAAAACAAATGCATATATATATATATATATATATATATATAATATTTATATGTAATCTCTGCAAGCTTACAAGATGATCAGCAAAGTTATTTAGATCTTTATTAAGATAACAGCCATGTAAAAGTAAGCAACATAACCAACCTGAAAAATACTAATTTACTGATAACTTAGTGTATGTTGTATAATGATAATTGATCAAACCAGTGTTAAGACATAGGGTGTTGATTAGTAGTATCATAGTGTATGTTGTATAATTTATCACACCAGTGTTAGGACATGGGATGACATTCTACTGTATATACGTTACAGAAGACACCAGTGGGACAGAAGAGAAGTTACAGTCACCTGTTACCAGCCCCAGAACCCAGCCCCGAGACGGAGTACATAGGGCAACACTCACAGGGGATAGGTGGACATTACGCAGATTCTTATTCCTCTAACAAACGGCAGCGACTGGACGCAGCTGGGGCAAGCAAGAGCTACATCTCCAGGCATTGAGGAGATCCCAAGGAAGTTTATACCAGGAATTATTGAGATGTGTCAGACAAACCAGTCTGAGTGCTTCACCAAGAGTGTAAGAGGCAGCTTCACATTTATAAGGTTATAAAATACCTTATAAATTTTTGCTTAATGCGCATATCACTGAAACAGATTTACTATTTCATTATTCCATGATGTATGCTCATATCAGTAACAGCAGTCTCACTATCCTGGAAAACTTGTTGGTTTAACATTTGTGCCCTTGTAAGATACAAAGAAAGGTATGACCTCACAGATATCATGATGAAAGGTTTGACCTTGTGAGATATCACGATGAAAGGTTTCAGCTTGTGAGATATCATGATGAAAGGTATGACCTTGTGAGATATCATGATGAAAGGTTTGACCTTGTGAGATGTCACGATGAAAGGTTTGACCTTATGAGATGTCACGATGAAAGGTTTGACCTTATGAGATATCACGATGAAAGGTTTGACCTTGTGAGATATCACGATGAAAGGTTTGACCTTGTGAGATATCACAATGAAAGGTTTGACCTTGTGAGATATCACAATGAAAGGTTTGACCTTTTGAGATATCACAATGAAAGGTTTGATCTGAGATATCGTGATGAAAGGTTTGACCTTGTGAGATATCACAACGAATGGTTTGACCTGAGATATCATAATGTAAGGTTTGATCGGAGATATCCCAATGAAGGAACCTTGAACAGGCCAACGAGAATCAGCATTGAGCTTGCAGTAGCAGTTTATAGTGCCATATTGAGCTTCAAGATTTTTTTACAATATTCGGTTAATAAATCTTGGTACCAGATTTTTTAACACGATATTGCTATCGGGTAAAGGTACAATGATAATGTATTGTTGGTATATCTATTATACTTAATATTATATTCCATAACTTCTTGATGATTGTGTTTGTGGTAATACACACTATGTCTGACTGCTTCCTTCACTCTTAGTCTACCTCATTAAAAACTTCTGATCTACTGACACATAGCTTTAGTGACTTCAGATTGATGGTGGTACTGGGACTAGTAAACAGTCCATTTTACACCTAAATTTACATACAAGACAACCAAACTATAATAGTCACTATATGTTTTACTCAGTACTGGGTTTAAAGAGGTACAATTATTGTAATAACATTTGAAATATATATCATTTCAGCAGTCAACCCAAGTATATGGTTTTGTATATTTTGTGCAAGATAAGCATTAGCATTTATAGACCTACTCAGATTTTTGCTTAACTAAACTCAAAGTCACCCCAAAGCTAGGACAATCTTACCTAAACTTTGGTCTCATATCATCCAAAAGTTAGGACAGCCTGACCTAAAATTTGTCCCAACTCATCCCAAAGCTAGGACAGTCTGACCTAAATTGGGTCTCAAATCATCCCAAATCTAGGACAGTCTGACCTAAATTTGGTCTCGAGTCATCCCAAAGCTAGGACAGTCTGACCTAAATTTGGTCTCAAGTCATCCCAAAGCTAAGACAGTCTGACCAAAATTTGGTCTCAAATCATCCCAAAGCTAGGACAGTCTGACCTAAATTTGGTCTCGAGTCATCCCAAAGCTAGGACAGTCTGACCTAAATTTGGTCTCAAGTCATCCCAAAGCTAAGACAATGTCTTTCTAGATTAGGTTCATGACGTCTTAGCTCTAAGACATTGTCCTTCAAGCTATCTTCAAGCTAACACAAAGCAAAAAATCATAAACGCATTTCACAGATGTATCTAGATCTGTTGCCCTTTGCTTGCCACCATGTCCTGTTGGATGTCGTGTTTACAACATAATTATCATGTTGGTTTGAGGGCTCCCAAACACATTTATAATATTGAGAGCATGAAGTGATTGTGTTCAACTTTGTCATTTAACCTAGAGCTTTTATAATGATGGTTTTGTGAATCTCTTATTGGATTCTGTAGGCCATTGATATGCTCCACAATATGGTAGTATAACCGCTGTTGATCAGCTTATTTCTCTTTTACTGGCCCTACTTAAAAGTTTTGTCATGTGAAATCATTCTAACTAGAGAGTTAATGTATTTAAGTGCTTATCCATAACTACACATTCATGTAGCAACACCGTTTTATTTTTTGCAGTCCCTGTATCAAAGGGCAGAGGGAACTGCCAGATGTAATTGGTGTATTTTTCTATCTTTTGTTGATTTTAATAATAGATACTGCCGCACGTTTTCTAAATAATGATTTTTTTTACCAACAATTTGTAGCCTAAATTTTGCCATGTGTAAATAATAGATTTTTTGTTCCTAGAACAGTTGTAATGATAAGTTGACTTCAAATTTGCTGTAAGCAATGTTTAAACATCTTGATTAATTGTATATAGGTAATAATGATCTACATAAAATGTTTGAATGTTGGTGTTTGTCTAATGTCTAATTTCACACTATAACCCAATTTTAAGGGGAGACAATTCAGAGTAGATAGTTCAGATTCTAGGAATCTCCGTTTAGATAGGTATATGGGATTAGTTATTGGTCCACAGTATGTCGTGTTTACAACATAATTATCATGTTGGTTTGAGGGCTCCCAAACACATTTATAATATTGTAATATCTAAGGTAGATATTTTGTTTGTGTAAAATGATTTACATTCCTAAAATTATTCAAATTTTTTTTAAAATCCAGATTTGATTGTAAATGTGTTGATGAAAACTATTTTAAGGTTCTTTTAAGTGTGAGTATGTACTAGTGTAAATATTTTTGTTTTTAGGAGAAAACATGTTTCCTATAGACTTGTACTCAGTGTTCAAGTTGTGAGTAGGCTGTTGATGAGGGTTTTTTGTTGTACATTTATGTGTCAGTTATTTTAGTCATGGTCTGCTGTGGTCTGAAGAGTCTGTAAGGACTGGACATGGTCAGCTGTGGCCTGAAGAGCCTGTAGACTGGACATGGTCAGCTGTGGCCTGAGTCTGTAGGGGAGAGCTGGTATTATGCAGCCAAATAGCAGTGAAAGCTCATGGTTACATACTGGACAGCAGTGATGGGTCTTTGCTTAAAAACTCAGAAACCGTGATTATTTGCATAAAATAGGCTTTTCAGTTAAAGTCAAATCGATTTTAAATCTAAACTTTTATGAGCCAATTATCATTATTTTACATATATTGAACCTTGTTTAAATGTTATATTATATGCTGACCATTTTTCCTCATGCTAATAGCACATTACATTTTACACATTCTGGTCATAGTAGCACAGCAAAGCATTAACTACCCAATCTTTCTGATGTAATTTTATATGGCCTGTAGGATATGTAGAGACTGGACATGGTCAGCTGTGGTCTGAAGAGTCTGTAGAGACTGGACATGGTCAGCTGTGGCCTGAAGAGTCTGTAGAGACTGGACATGGTCTGCTGTGGTCTGAAGAGTCTGTAGAGACTGGACATGGTCAGCTGTTACCTGAAGAGTCTGTAGAGACTGGACATGGTCTGCTGTGGTCTGAAGAGTCTGTAGAGACTGGACATGGTGAAGAGCCTGTAGACTGGACATGGTCAGCTGTGGCCTGAAGAGTCTGTAGACTGGACATGGTCAGCTGTGGCCTGAAGAGTCTGTAGAGACTGGACATGGTCAGCTGTGGCCTGAAGAGTCTGTGGCCTGAAGAGTCTGTAGAGACTGGACATGGTCAGCTGTGGCCTGAAGAGTCTGTAGAGACTGGACATGGTCAGCTGTTGCCTGAAGAGTCTGTAGACTGGACATGGTCTGCTGTGGTCTGAAGAGTCTGTAAGGACTGGACATGGTCAGCTGTGGCCTGAAGAGCCTGTAGAGACTTGGAAATGGCCGACTGTGGCCTGAAGGATCTGTTTTAGTGATTGAAAATCTGTTACTGTTGAATGGACCAATTTTATTGTCAATTTTTTTGTTTTTTGTTGCTTTAATTGTTTTGTGTTGATTTTTATTAATTTTAGGTTGTTGTTATGGGATAGTATAGAAAACAGCAAAGGACTCTTTTAATTATCGAATTGTTTTATCTATTCATCTTTATTAGTGCATCATATTCAGATACCATACAAGAAAGAAATGTGACTTCCTCCCTCATTGAAAGATGTTAAATGGTCTTAATCGGTATGAGGGATATTTCAGGTAGGAAGGTAGGGATACATAGTTTTGGAGAAGAAGGTCAGGGCAGGAGATATGTATTTTAGTTGGACAGGGAGATGGGACCAGGTTACATATAGTATTCAAGTGGCTGGAAGATGCACTTAGGGGACAGGAGACATATATCATAGAAGTGACAGGGGATGGATAGAAGGGGGAAAGAGTCATACAGCATATGTTGAAGAAGGGATAAGATGATGTAGTGAGAGGGGCTGTAGACATGTATTATAGGTGGGACAGGATGATGTAGCGAGAGGGGCTGTAGACATGTATTATAGGTGGGACAGGATGATGTAGCGAGAGGGGCTGTAGACATGTATTATAGGTGGGACAGGATAATGTAGTGTTAGGGGCTGTAGACGTGTATTATAGGTGGGACAGGCAGATGTAGGGAGGGGACAGGAAACGTATTATAGGTGGGACAGGCAGATGTAGGGAGGGGACAGGAAACATATATTATAGGTGGGACAGGCAGATGTAGGAGACAGAAGAGGGAGATTTAGTGATGGGACAGGAGGTATGTATTATATAAGATATGTGCTAAAGGTGTGGATATAAATTCTGTAAAACTGTACGATTGCTAGGTATCACATACATCCCTCCTGAGAGCGTATAGTTGCAGAGTAGACCTTATGTTTTCATGCAGAAATTCTCAGCATGTGTAACTCTCTAACACTAACTGTGATATCACAAAGAGTACCTAGTAATCCATCTTATCTTCAGTCACATCTTTAAAAGTCATTACAAGAAAACTATTATTTCATTTTATTGTGTAACAGTATGTCCTTTTCGGTAGTTCATGGTTTTGATGATATTGAGCTACAATGTTACCAGCGTTTAGTTCTATATACATGATATGTGAGCTGTGCCTTGTCAAATGTCACTTTGTACTCCAGTATTCTTACCTGCCATTAGGTTTTAGTGTATATACACTTATTTTGTTTCATGTTTTAAATTGTAAATATATTTTAAGTATTTCTTTCATATTTTGTCCTTTCTCTCTGTCTCTGTCTCTCTACTTTCGGACTTGTATGTACACACCAGGCATGAAGGCATGTACACTGATGTTTATCAAGCCTCAAAATATTTTACTATTATTTTACGATGTTGACATCTTATAAATAGTCACTCCGAGTCGTGGGTATTTTAAAATTTTCCTTTGAGAAATTTTCTTGTAATTTGTTATTACAATGAATATTGCACCTAGGAAATGTATCAAGTATAAAGAATTGAAGATTTATATGAGAGTACAGGATGATAACAACAGAAGCCATTACAAAGTTGATGTTATCACTCACTTCCTCGCCTGTGCATTATTGTACAAACTTAGTATAGAAAAGGATTGTATTTGACACAGTCCTTGTTAGTTATGTGAAGTGTGTTGTAACTGCCATGTTGTAATGAAGTGGGTGTTTCAGTAGATAAAGAGTGTAACCATCAGTCAGACAGCTTGAGTTTCTGTGAATTCTCTAACTTAACAGTGTTTGCCTGGGGTTGTCTTTCCTGATTTATCATTTCCACTACATGTGACTATCAAATGGCAATCATGAGCCCTCTACAGCTGGACTTTGTTGTAATCAGCTGACTTTGGGGTCACTGTATTATTAAGTCATCCTTTATGATTTTACTGTAGTAGTTCATGTGATTTTTTCCACCTTTCCATTCAGTTGTCTGGCTATAGTCATCTAAAATTAATTTACTTTGGTCAAACTGTTTGTTGTACACTGTGTCTCTCATTCTTTTCAAATTATAAACTCACAAACTTCAACAGAAGTACAAAACCTGTGTGGTGAATAACTACATGTATTAAATGAGTGTGAATAGTTACTTTGTTAGTCCCGTCCCATCTCTTTTTCAAAAGTACTCGTACAAAAAAGTAGTCATTGAAGAATTACACGAGAAGTCTGATGAAAACAGAATAGTATATAAGGTTTAGTTTTTTATTAAATCTAGTAAATTCAAACTGCTTGTTAGAAAATATTATTCTGTGCAATTTTCACTATTCTTGTTTTGTTGTGATTGTCTTATTTACCTATCTTTGTGTCAGGAAAGCCATATGTTGGTAGATCTTTGAGAATTTTACTTAACTGTATAGGATAATGGTGTTTCATAATAATTTCATGTTGTTGTCTTAACTTTTTTAATTGTTGTATATTTCTGGGGAATTTTATCAATGTGAATTTTGTGAATATTGTCATCAGGTGTGACATATGAAACAAAACTGAATTGTTAAAAGAAACATTTTAATGCAGTAAAATTTTCAAATACTCAACTTGTCTTTGTGAAATTTCAACCTTACAAACAGTGTTATATTAAATAACAAAAAAGAAAGAAAAAACATTGAATTGTCAAACCCTTAAAAAGGAGTCCACTTGTACAAAATTAAAAAAAGAGGCAGTTTCCATCACTGCTCTCTAAAATTTGTACACAACCCAGTAAAAGAGGTGGCTTCCATCAATGATGCTAAAATTTGTACACAACCCAGTGTAGCTGCCATCTTTATCACTAAAACTCCAGATTTTGTTTAGCCTGTTCAATGTGTTTTTCTGTAGAGGGTTCTGGCCCGACTTTGTTTTTGAACCTGTGTTGTCCTGCAGACTGACCCGCCTCCTCCTGGTCACTCGTGTCACCTGGGATAGGTATCGCCTGTAAATACACAAATCTTATATTGTACTTACCATTTGGTATTTTGCACCTTTTTTGGTTATAGGTCTTGGCATCCAGTTGATAAATTCTTATTTTCATAGTCATGTCGCGCTCTGATGAAAACCTCGAAAAATTGAGTGTTTACCTATAAGATACCCATACAGAATATGCCTCTAAATCCCAAAATAATACGCTCCTTCGTTGTTTATCTGTCATAGATGCAGTGCATCAGGGATGCGAGCTTGAAATTGGACATCCTCGATCCCAGGTGGAAAAGTCGCACTTCCGCTTATTGAAGTGATAGTGCGATTTTTTCCACCTGGGACCGAGGATGGAAATTGGTGGAGCATTAAAAAAGAACAGTTTTGAAAAAGTGTAAATGTCATATCACTTTTATCAACTACTTATTCAATTCTGATGCAAAATACCAAGTACCGCTGTTGTTGCGTGAACAAATTATCGCCAAAAATATGTTAGTGGACTGCGTCCGAAATTCAGCAACGAAACATTCTTCAGGTTTAGAAATATTCTGAATTGGAAACAGCGTTAAAATTTGAGAGTTTTAGAGTTCAAAACTTCATTTTTTCATAGCTCGTCCGTCTGTTTGACGTACGCGCAGTGTTCCCTTGACACTGGATTTCGGTATTTTCAAATTCCTATTGTAATGACCATGACTTAGTAACTTAGTAACTTAGGTTTTCTGGCTGGACACCCATACTTTGTACAGTCAATATAAAAAAAACTATAAACAGCATTTGGATGACGGTGTTATTTAAGCTAGGTCTCTGGTAAGTTGGATGAATCATATTTGTCACTGCAAAAACAAAAAAAAGCCCCTTCTCCATCCCTGCCCCACCCCCTGATGTAATTTTTTCCGCATACAATGATAATATGAGATAAGGGACAAGAACAATGGCATTTACAGTACCATGAATTGCACTTTTGTGTCATAACACACCATATTATAACTAAATAAGTCCTTTATAACCTGTTTTAAAATTTCAACGCCATTCTTGGTCCAATTCCACTGCCAGCGACAATTTCGTCTTCTGAAACTTAAATTTGTCTCAGTGAATTGTACAATTGACACATACTTCTCTGATTTGATGGGAAACTGTATTAAACATTTTCAAATTCGGCCTTGATAACCATCTTCTATAAACGTGTTTGATTGTTTTGCATGTGACGGGTGAAATCTCGCATTTAAAATTACATATATAGAGAGACTCAACAATAAAACAGGTTATTAAGTTACACTGCCGTACACCGGAGGTTGATAGATCACAGAAATTTTTAGTTACTAATATGTTTTGTAGAGATATGCGGATTAGTTGCCATCATTTCTAGTGAGATTGTCTGATATTACAAAAATTTATTCACTTCACTCGAGATTTGTTCTGGTGAATTTCGTAAACCCCAACGCTTAATGTCCTACTTCGGACCATTTATCACTCGGAAAAAAATCATTTGGTTTTAAATGTACAGATTAACGAAACGCTACGTCTGTCGAAAGATGAGGAAAATGGCTATTGGCACGCTCCAAGTCGGCGCAACGGTAAGCCATTTATGGCAACGTTTAAATTCAACTTCTTCTACACGGTACCGTCCACGGAGTGTCCAACCACGCCGGGTTTTTGGCGGTGGAACAATGTTTTATCGAGATTTTGTTCGATGTACGATGATAGGAGGCAGCGGGTATTAGCGACATCGGATGGAATGCTTCGCAGACTGTTGTTCAGTCCAGCGTGACAGTTTTGCTGGGGATAGTCTGATGACCAGGGGCGGCAAACCCGACGGAACTTCACCAGGTTAGTCATTATTTATGGCAATTTAAATGTAATTCGCTATCGGGACGAATTTGCAGCATGACGATGCGACGTCCTACACCAATCACGTGATTAGGACGTTATTACAGACGAACAATGTGAGAGTTTTGGATGGACCTGCAAAATCCACCGATCTGAAGTCAGCAGAGCACAACCGGGATGCTATTTGAAGACGCGTACGGCGTCGACCAAATTTGCACTACAAGAACTGGCACAGGCACTGAACGATGAGTGGAACGCCACCCCGGCACACATTCGGCGATATAGATATTCTGTCTGTCAGCGTGGCAATGCTGTGGTCCAAGTCAATGGTGGTCACTCAAGTTACTTACGCCGTTCTTAGAGACATAACCACCACATGTCTTGTCATCACCCAAAATCACCGAACCGTAACGGATTTGGGTCGCCATTGAAACGTCCATTTAACCCCTCATTTACCATATTTCACTGAAACCTGGCATGGCTGCTACAGACACAAATCTTGATGACATAACAAATTATCATTAGATGTTTATCCATTCTGGTCATTTCTGAGTTGATTCCCTCAATAGGCAACAGTTGACGACAGACGGAAGCCCTACGTTGTCATAAGCTTACTTCGACCCTCGGGGACATGGATATTCGATTTAAGTCCCCTAGTCCTATAGGTACAAACTTTTTTACTCAGTGCAGATACTTCTCAAGATAGATATATCACATTAAGTACTCGAGTAAAAAAAATGTGAACTTGGCTTGCCTTAAACTTAGCCCTAATTAGTAGAAATAAAATTTGACACGGTCAATAGTGAACTGTTTCCGTAATGTTGACCAGACAACAGATGACAGTGAACAGTGACGAAGTACATTAAATGTTCTTTTGGGTACACGTGTATCATTACAGTGTTGACGGTTAACGATTGGTTCTTAGAGTACACGTGTATCATTGCAGTGTTGACGGTTAATGATTGGTTCTTTTGGGTACACGTGTATCATTACGGTGTTGACGGTTAACGATTGGTTCTTTAGAGTACACGTGTATCATTGCAGTGTTGACGGTTAATGATTGGTTCTTTTGGGTACACGTGTATCATTACGGTGTTGACGGTTAACGATTGGTTCTTTAGAGTACAAGTGTATCATTACAGTGTTGACGGTTAACGATTGGTTCTTCAGAGTACAAGTGTATCATTACAGTGTTGACGGTTAACGATTGGTTCTTCAGAGTACACATGTATCATTACAGTGTTGACGGTTAATGATTGGTTCTTTTGGGTACACGTGTATCATTACAGTGTCGAAGGTTAACGATTGGTTTTTAGAGTACACGTGTATCATTACAGTGTCGACGGTTAACGGTTGGTTTTTAGAGTACACGTGTATCATTACAGTGTCGACGGTTAACGATTGGTTTTTAGAGTACACGTGTATCATTGCAGTGTTGACGGTTAATGATTGGTTCTTTTGGGTACACGTGTATCATTACGGTGTTGACGGTTAACGATTGGTTCTTTAGGGTACACGTGTATCATTACAGTGTCGATGTTTGATAACAGTTTCTTATGGAAACACGATATTTTAACATTAAGGATAATTATACTTCATGTTTTGGGAAGAACTTCAACACTTCTAGAAAAATAAAGCTTAATATCAGCTTAGCGAAAAACTTCAACGTGCAGAAACGTCAGGATCTGAGAGCAGCATTTGTGTTGGGAGAACCATACACGGATATAAGCATATTCCTGATTTCGTTAGTGGTGAAAACTTCACGAGAAATACCGTCAACACCAAGGTACATGTAAACGGAAAACTCAAACATGGGATATTTAATTAGCAACGTCCAATTAACAGTAAACTGTCGGTGAAAATACGAATCTGGAATTTGTGTTGGGAAGGTTACATAAAGGTTAAAGTACATAACACGCTTCGGGATGATAGGTCGTGTACTTTTACAGAAATTACGCTCAATGTGGCAAAACGCAAAACGTTAACATGACAAACAATTAATTAACAAAGTTCAATTAATTATCAAATATATGTTAAAATCTTAATTAAAAGCATGTACTGAGATGCCCTTGCTTACGTATGATCCTCAAGTAGGCTTGTGATGATAACACTTAATTGAACAATTGGAAGTTTAACACAATTGTCGACGCTGCCGCCGGAAAACTAACATTATTTTGCTTCGTCGACGCCGTCCTCGAGACAAAGAACTGATGTTCATGAAAACAGAAGCGTTTTGGACGACAAACTAAAATACCAGAGTTGAACGTTTAAAAGATGCAAATTGATGAAAATTATGGGGACGTTTTATGGTCACCATAGTGGTCTCATTGAGAGATGTTATATTTCTTCTCGTGACATGAAGCTGGACGTAATTGATGCTAGTTAGCTTGCCTGTTGGTTCCGGTGTTGTATACCTTGCTGTCATTTGAGAACGTGACAATACTTACTTTGATTGACCAAGGTTTACATGGTGGGTGTCGTCGATGAAGCAGAAGACGCTTACTCTCCCGGAACACCAGGTCTTGACCTCTTTGTACTATTTCAGGAGTCTCCGTATAAATCTTTCATTTGCGCATATTTTTTGAGATTGAATTATGATTATGTCGCCATGTTGGTATTTTCTTGATGTTTTTGATACTGAGTATTCGAAATGTATATGCAATATTGCAGTACACTAGAGAATCATACCGTCACCAAATACAAACCGACTCAGAGCACGTGCGTTACGCCAACCCCTTAACATTTAACAATACAAGTGGGAACAGTAAATGGGACCCTTGTAACCCTGCTATACATGTGTGTCGCTTGCTTGAAATCTCGCGAGAAAGAAAATACCATCATACTATCATTATGTTAAACTAATTGGTTCCCAATATCACGGATTTGAATATATCGAAGTCCGTGCCGGTTCAAGCGCATTTCACGCTTTTCATAGTATTTCCCAATCCTAAAACATAAGTTATCTTTGTTAAATATTTACCTCAGGTACCTTCAACTCTTTGGGTATAAAAAGAAGTAGACCGACCGCAAGCACTAGGACCATTACCACACCAGCCAGGAATGCATACGTCACTTCCGGCACGTACATGTCTTTGTGTTTCAGCAAGGCAATAGTCTGCATAATACCAACCACAAGGTTTGCCGTCACCTTGGAAAGAGGGAGAGCAGACAGTTATTACGCGCACATGAACTTGGGTTACTGTGTTCATTTGTCAAAAACTCTTTTTTTTTCGGCTTCTTATAGTAGTTCGTTTAGGGCATCAGACGAAGAGGCATTAGGAATAAAAGGTCTGATTAAGGCTTCTGAGAAACTCAAGTGGACAAGTGGACAATCTGTTTGATGTAAGGTGGAACACTACTTACGTCGAGGAAGAGATTGACATTCATACCATCTTTCTCCCAACGACATTCGCTTTTGATGAAATAGAAGAAAATAACAAATAAGAATGATCACATATGATAATTAAGGTATGGCCCTAATGTAAACATCTGTTACGTATTTATGATACAAAAGAGAGGTGCCGATATAAGCCGTTCTATTACCATTCAGTAATATTCAAGGTTAGCGGCTTAACGTAAACTATACAGAATAGTAGATTTGTTGTGGACTATTGGCACATTTGAAGATTTGGTGTTAAAATAAACTGTAAGATGAGATTATCAAAAAACTGTAATTGTTGTGTTTTTTGTTGAATCGGAATTCAGATTTTAGAATGAATTTAAAAAGAACTGACACAAAATTATAAAATAGGTCACAGTAACATTATTTAATGACATGCTTATATTTATCTAACAAAAATACTCTTTCAATATAAACGAAACCTAATTTATTCCTAGTACAGTATGTAAACAAACCTTACTTATTCCCTGTACAGTGCGCTAATCTGTACAGTACGTTAACCAAACATAACTTATTCCCCGAACAATACGTTAACCAAACCTTACTCATTCCCTGTACAATGCGCTAATCTGTATAGTACGCTAACCAGTACAGTACACTAACTAAACCTTACTCATTCCCTGTACAATGCGCTAATCTGTATAGTACGCTATAGTACGCTAAGCTGTACAGTACGTTAACCAAACCTTACTCATTCCCTGTACAATGCGCTAATCTGTATAGTACGCTAACCTGTACAGTACGCTAACTAAACCTTACTCATTCCCTGTACAATGCGCTAATCTGTATAGTACGCTATAGTACGCTAACCTGTACAGTACGTTAACCAAACCTTACTCATTCCCTGTACAATGCGCTAATCTGTATAGTACGCTAACCTGTACAGTACGCTAACTAAACCTTATTCATTCCCTGTACAGTACGTTAAGCTAACATTACTCATTCCCAATACAGTACGCTGACCCAATCTTTCTAGTTCCTTTTACAGTATGTTAACAAAATCTTTCTAGTGTCCCGTACAGTACGTTAATCAAACCTTTCTAGTGCCCTGTACATTACGTTAACCAAACTGTTCTAGTGTCCCATACAGTACGTTAACCAAACCTTTCTAGAATCCCGTGCAATCCGTTTACGAAACCTTTCTAGTCCTTGTACAATACGTCAACCAAACCTTTCTAGTGCCCCATACAGTACGTTAACTAAACCTTTATAGTGCCCCATACAGTACGTTAACCAAACCTTTCTAGTGCCCCATACAGTACGTTAACCAAGCCTTTCTAGTGCCCCGTACAGTACGTTAACCAAACCTTTCTAGTGCCCCATACAGTACGTTAACCAAACCTTTCTAGTGCCCGTACAGTACGTTAACCCAACCTTTCTAGTGCCCCATACAGTACGTTAACCAAGCCTTTCTAGAGCCCCGTACAGTACGTTAACTAAACCTTTCTAGTGCCCCATACAGTACGTTAACCAAACCTTTCTAGTGCCCCGTACCGTACGTTAACCAAACCTTTATAGTGCCCCGTACAGTACGTTAACTAAACCTTTCTAGTGCCCCATACAGTACGTTAACCAAACCTTTCTAGTGCCCCATGCAGTACGTTAACTAAACCTTTCTAGTGCCCCATGCAGTACGTTAACCAAACGTTTCTAGTGCCCCATACAGTACGTTAACCAAATCTTTCTAGTGCCCCATACAGTACGTTAACTAAACCTTTCAAGTGCCCCGTACAGTACGTTAACCAAACCTTGCTAGTGCCCCATACAGTACGTTAACTAAACCTTCATAGTTCCCCGTACAGTACGTTAACCAAACCTTTCTAGTGCCCCATACAGTACGTTAACTGAATCGGACTAAAGTCGTTAACTTGATACTTGTCATTTTCACAGCCTGATTAATATGTTAGGAACTAAGATATAACAATATCATCTGACGTCACTTTTTGACATCTCACCTGTAAGGTCGTAAGGCGAGGAGACTTAAAAGGTAGACCCCAGTCATAACCATCTGAATCACAACTTGTACAGATACGCTGAAAGCAGAGAACAGTCATTATAAACGTTAGCTTTGTCATGTGACCTGCTAGCCAGTGAATTATAATTGCAAAGCAATTATTCAAAAACCAAACCAAACGTGTTTTATATCTTTAACTCCGAAGTGAGTCAATTTCAAATTTTAATCACATTGTGAACGACCTGGCTCAGGTTATTCAAAAGTTAGTCAGAGTTAACCAGCGGTTAGGGAAAATATCGAATTGTTGCCACTGAAATAGAGCTTTCAAGGCCAAATTAACGCTCAAAATGTAACAGACTGACTTATCTCAACAAATCTGTAGCTGTGAAGTGATAAAAATGTTTTTAATTTTGTTTACTTCATCTTTGAAATTTTTCACTAATCACTGGCTATCTATAAACGGTCTTTGAACAACCGAAGCCAGAAAGGATTTTAATGTTCCGCCATATCTGTGAGAAAAAAAAATCGCAGGAAGATAGAAGAGTAATGTCCATGTACTCCAGACTTACTGACGTACAGTCTAGCTACTGCCCATAGTGACTCTGATTGCTAAAACAAAATTGACACTCGTTTACTTGAATAAAGGTCAAGGTCGATTAAGAAAATAAATCGCAATCCGGTTCTGATATAAAGTCGGTCTGTAGACATTTTATCAACTTTGACCCCTCTCAACTTAATTATTGGTCAAGGTCATTTCTTGAGAAGATTGATTTATCGATTTTGGATCTTGGTACCCGTTGCATGTAGATTGCGGTTATTTTGTCCCGAAGTTTGCAGTACTCCATGACAACTAGTTTCAGGGCGCAAATCACATTACAACTTTTCCGACCGTTTCTCCACAGAAATCATATGGATTTTTTTAAAGTTTTACCGGTAGACTGTGAAACACTGCATGTCAGGAACCTGCTGGCTAAAATCACCACTCAGTGCCTTTTATTTCGCCAGGAAAAAAACCGGTATGAGCGTTTTTCACAAGTAAGCCAAGTCACTTTAAAATGTGCTCAGTTTTGTTTTAACGTTATTGTTTTACACCCGTTGCGAAACAATTTATATAAAATTGTAATATTCACTCTGATTAGCCCCACAAACGAAGCGTGCTTTGTGTCTTATACTGTAGGAGAAAATCGAAGTGACAGAGAAACCATGTGACCAGGTAGGTAACCCATTACATTTGCACGTTCGATGGGGGTATCGAACCCCGGGCGCCTTAGTAGCCAGCCTTCTACGACTGGCTACAAATTTCGACTCTCGGTTTTGGTAGTTCAAAAGATTTCAAATTGCTTAACTAAATTTGGTAAATTTGGTGGTACATCTTCAGGATTTATCTATATAGAACAACTCCAATTGCTATCTACTTAGTTTCTATGGACATAGTACAACTCCAGGTTTTATATATATTGTACAGCTCTAGTTTCTATCTACATACGATGCTAGTTTAATGTCAGTCGTCCAAATTGATATTACCACCCTGATGATAAGACAGTTGTGTTCTCGGGGGTTAAGGCTGTGTATAGCACATACAACCATGACGTACTGTGTGGTATCTGTGTAAATACATTACCGATGTCGAGATAAATTGATTTTAAATTCATTTCCGAGATAACTGTTCCTGGAGACCTATTGCTGACTACATATCGACATTTGTTTGTATCTCCGCACAATTTTCCAATTCACATTTACCATTCATAACACAGGAACACGCGAATTTTTCAGAACAACAAACATGACCGATATGTCAGTGAACAAAGTCAGCCCTTTGGTCGAAACTGTATGAATTCTTGATTTTCCAAAAGTTAGTTAAACCAAGTACCCACAAATTCGTTAGCTCGATATTCCGAAATTTGTGAACTCCGTATATTCTAACAGCTGTCGATATATACAAACCAAACCGAAACCAGGAAACATTTCTTAATGTATCATAGAAATAGCAAAACATTACTCGCAGTAGTGTTGCTGAATAAAGCGGTAGAGACAGGATGTAACTGTGAAATATTTCGATGTTATGTTTTGCAGGTAATTAACTACAAAGGGATTCATGCGCGGAAAAGTCTTTCGGCGGGAAAATACGACAAAACGTCACATTATAAAAGCAAAGCAGAAGTACTTTTATTTCTTTCCTATATTTGGTTGTACAACCATTCAAACATTGCCACGGTCATGAAAGAACCCGAGACGTAAACCCTAGATGCAACAGAACGTCTTCAACAAAAAAACTCTAAAATTCATATTGGATGAAGATATCCATGAAATCTTTTACAAGTAAAACTCGCGTGTATCTAGACATTTTTTCTCCCGCATCTTATGTGTGGAAATCGATTTTGTTTCGTGGTTATCAAAAATTCATTTGAACTTGTTTGGATTTTAAACAAATTTTAAAAACTTTCTAACGTTCTATTTCATGAAATCGATTTCCCTTTCCCAAATTCATTTTTAGAGTTTTTTTTACTATTTTACACACATCATACAAGCTCGGAGCGTCTCGAAATGTATGTAAACGGCATATTAATACCACACAAATTAGTTTTTTCGACTGAAATAAAGCTGAGATATCAAGGAAATTCAATCTGTAACTTCACACCCGGAGTATGGGTCGAAGAAGACTGTCGGACTGTCCAAAGTTACATTAGATTACTAGATTCACAGTTGGTTCGTGTGCGATAAAAAACACAAAAATATTCTTACTTACGGTTCTACGTCCGCGATTAAAGGGACATTTCCGCTTTTTAGAAACCCTACAAGTTTAGCTATCCGTTGTTTGAATTCCGTGGAGCTACCTCTATTTAAGATCGATTTTGACTTTACGAAATACTCTATAGGGGGCGCATTGTCACTCAGGGCCATTCCGTGTGTGGGCTCTTCAATTCTAATATGGCGTCAAAGAAATCAGTAAATTCAGATTTAACTAATCAAGGTAATTCTGTACCTAACGTTTATTTGTATTAAAAACATTTACTATAATCAGAGTGCACATCAATATCACAGCTGAGGAACACAGATGTGGAATCTCGCTGTTATAGACATTTACTGTCGTCAGAACGACTCTCCCACCGCCTCCTTCAGAGCGAAATTTGAATGTCAAGGTCACGCATTTAGAGTGACAGGAAAGGTTATAGGGATGTATGCTGATGACTGATAATGGCCTAGTGTAGGCAAATCGTATTATCGTCATTTCATCTCGAGTTAGACAAAGACTGGATCTACTATCGCATCAGTCAGTATCTACCTACTGAAAGCAAATTAGATTATTTTTTTCAATTCTGCTTTATTCCTTTATTTCATATATTGTGGTACTATTTGGACACGGGAATGTGACAAACATGTATACAATAAACTGACACGTGACAAACCTCTATACAACACACGGACACGTGACAAACCTGTATACAATACACGGACACATGACAAACCTGTATACAATACACGGACACGTGACAAACCTGTATACAAAACACGGACACGTGACAAACCTGTATACAATATACTGACACGTGACAAACCTGTATACAATATACTGACACGTGATAAACCTGTATACAACACACGGACACGTGACAAACCTGTATACAATATACTGACACATGACAAACCTGTATACAATACACGGACACGTGACAAACCTGTATACAATACACGGACACATGACAAACCTGTATACAATATACTGACACGTGACAAACCTGTATACAAAACACGGACACATGACAAACCTGTATACAATATACTGACACGTGACAAACCTGTATACAAAACACGGACACATGACAAACCTGTATACAATACACGGACACATAACAAACATGTATAGAATAAACTGACACGTGACAAACCTGTATACAATATACTGACACATGACAAACCTGTATACAATACATGGACACGTGACAAACCTGTATACAATACACGGACACGTGACAAACCTGTATACAATACACGGACACATGACAAACCTGTATACAATATACGGACACGTGATAAACCTGTATACAATATACTGACACATGACAAACCTGTATACAACACACGGACACGTGACAAACCTGTATACAATACACGGACACGTGATAAACCTGTATACAACACACGGACACATGACAAACCTGTATACAATATACGGACACGTGATAAACCTGTATACAATATACTGACACATGACAAACCTGTATACAACACACGGACACGTGACAAACCTGTATACAATACACGGACACGTGATAAACCTGTATACAACACACGGACACGTGACAAACCTGTATACAAAACACGGACACATGACAAACCTGTATACAATATACTGACACGTGACAAACCTGTATACAATACACGGACACGTGACAAACCTGTATACAATACACGGACACGTGATAAACCTGTATACAACACACGGACACGTGACAAACCTGTATACAAAACACGGACACATGACAAACCTGTATACAATATACTGACACGTGACAAACCTGTATACAATACACGGACACGTGATAAACCTGTATACAATATACTGACACGGGACAAACCTGTATACAATATACTGACACGTGACAAACCTGTATACAATACACGGACACATGACAAACCTCTATACAATACACGGACACGTGACAAACTTCTATACAATACACGGACACGTGACAAACCTGTATACAATACACGGACACGTGACAAACCTGTATACAATATACTGACACGTGACAAACCTGTATACAATATACTGACACGTGATAAACCTGTATACAATATACTGACACGTGATAAACCTGTATACAATATACTGACACGTGATAAACCTGTATACAATACACGGACACATGACAAACCTGTATACAATACACGGACACGTGATAAACCTGTATACAATACACGGACACGTGACAAACCTGTATACAATACACGGACACGTGACAAACCTGTATACAATACACGGACACGTGACAAACCTGTATACAATACACGGACACGTGACAAACCTCTATACAACACACGGACACGTGACAAACCTCTATACAATATACTGACACGTGACAAACCTGTATACAATACACGGACACGTGACAAATCTGTATAAAATAAATAGACACGTGACAAACATGTATACAATACACGGACACGTGACAAACCTGTATACAATACACGGACACGTGACAAACCTGTATACAATACACAGACACGTGACAAACCTCTATACAATAAACTGACACGTGACAAACCTGTATACAACACACGGGCACGTGACAAACCTGTATACAATACACGGGCACGTGATAAACCTGTATACGATACACGGGCACGTGACAAACCTGTATACAATACACGGGCACGTGACAAACCTGTATACAATACACGGACACGTGACAAACCTGTATACAATACACGGACACATGACAAACCTGTATACAATACACGGGCACGTGACAAACCTGTATAAAATACACGGACACGTGACAAACCTGTATACAATACACGGACACGTGACAAACCTGTATACAATACACGGACATGTAACAGGCGAAATGTATTCAAACACATAAATGACACCACTCGGCACATAACGATATCATTTTGTGAACATCAAGGATGAAATAATGATAAAAAGCCAGACATGCGTTCAAGATAAGCCTTTTCATTGGACTGTCTCTAGATATCGATGTGGATTTATTTCATATGACAATTCCATACATTTTATTGTGACAATGAAAAAACAAGATTGTCTCGGGCCTTCGCCATTAAAAGTCTGGAAGAGTGGACACGAGATTATTATAAATCGTAGTCACAGACAGATAAATGGGGAGACATGATTCTCACCAGATATACCAGTACAATTTAGGCAGTAAGTCAGACAGAAAAACAACATTTTATCTCACTCTAACATCAATCTTTATTTCTGTAAAGTGTAAGTTTGATCGATATTTGTGCTGAAACCTTTTTCAAATCATACAGAAATCACGCAACCGACACGCGCAGATACGCTTTGATTAGAGAGGGTTAAGCCGATCATGACACGAACATGTGACCGAAAAATTATAGTCCTTTAGCACCAAGAGTACTGTAGTGATACCCATGTCACGGTATGGCTGTAGTGATACCTGTGTCCCGGTATGGCTATAGTGATACCTGTGCCCCGGTATGGCTGTAGTGATATCAGTGTCAAGGTATGGCTGTAGTGATACCAATGTCACGGTCCCGGGGTTGAGTTGGACAAATTAAGGTGTCCTGATCGTTACGCGGAGAAATATGATAACAAATTACGGAAAATGTGAAAAAGAAACGATGGTTAAAAGGTGAACTGTGGAAAAAAGTCTGCGATGTCTCTAGGCTAAGGGAGAAGATGTTAAAAAGGGGGCGGTACTATCCTTGGGTTAAGACGGGACATGTGATCAAGAACTGAGGTATATCGAGGTTGAAAGGGGTCACGAGAAGAAAAACTGATGAATTCCGCAATTAAGCGGGAACATAACGGACCGTACCAACATAAAGAAACCCCTTTACAAATATTGTTAGAAACTCACCTTAAAACGTTCGTTTCTGTCATTGCGATGCAGAAGATTTTACGGAACATGGGAATGGCTTCCCAAAAACAGTATCGTGACTTGTAGGATTCATATACAAACCTAAAACACAAAAATGTACACGTGTGGATGAATTTAACTTAAAAGAGCAAACACTACATGAAGTACGCGTCTGATTAAATACATCAATTCATTAGGCAAGTCTGATCGATCATAGAAATGTTCCTTTTGTTTAGACAAAGACATATGAACGTTATTTATTCTCTCTCAATTGTTTCTAACCCGTGTCGGAGGCGCTCATTCTCTAGGAGGGACCACTTCCGCTGTACCAGTGAAAACAGAATGACGGCCAGAGGAAAAGCCACAGAGTAGAGCATCGAAATTATAGCAAAGAACTGGAGCGTCTGGAAAATAAAACGCATTATATAGCATAACTAGGATTACAAGCGACTTAACACATAGAATCCAGAAAAAATAGTCTGATCGTCTATGTAATTATATAGAAGTTGAGAGTACAGACCGCCTTACTCTGCTGGTGGGAACTTCTTTCAGTCAACGGTAGAGTGTCCGACTAAAGACCGAAGGGTCACCAGTTCGAACCCAGCCGTAGGCAGGGTGTTTTTCATTACTCCTTTCTATTACAGAATTGGTGCCGTGACCAGGATAGAGTAGAAGTTAAGAGGATAGGTCGTCACCTTACTAGCCTGTGCTATCAATAAATTAACCTCAAAGAGATTATTTAGTATGGAATTTGTCATCAGTTATATGTTCGTTTCATTTCTGAGTGTAAATCGAGGTCCTAGTATTGGCCGATGTAATGTGGACAATAATGTCACGGCTGGCATCGCAAACTTGAACTGAATCTACCCCGTGTAGACATGAAACAGCATGAGAAAGTACAACTGGTGACGTTGTTCACTAAACTGGAAATCAAGATACATTGATAACATATGTACTGGACACAAAAAATTAAGAATCATAAATATATCTGATTTTTCTGCCATTAAAATAAATAAACTTGATACTCCTACACCACTATTTTATCGCTAACGTATGCACAGAAACTTTTCGGTAACGATTTACCCGTGCAACCTACAGTAAACGGTGTGGCAAGACACCATGTAACATAGGGTTAAAATCAAACTGTTAATTGTAACTCTGTGTGGACTTAACGTCATATCAATCAAAATTTTTGTGTTTCTTCTGAATGTCCTGTCATTTTGCATCCTGTTTTGAAAAATTGTTAGCATGAGTCGTCATATGAAAGCTGTAGAGGCTGGCCGTGCAGTCGGTATGCTGCAAGCAGGACAATTACAACGAACTTTAGCTGCACACTGCAATGTGCCACAGAGTGTCATTTCTAGATTATGGAATCGATTCCAGATGACAGGAGACGTCACCGAGACACCTTGGTCGGGTAGACCACGATGTACGACAGCCCGTCAGGATCGTTACTTCAGCATTCTTACTAGGCGAAATAGGTGTGCAAGTTCCACTTGGTTGAATAACGACTTCCGTTAAGCAACCGGAGGAAGAATCTCTGCACAAGCAATGAGGAATAGGCTTCACAGCAGGGATTACGCTCTCACAGACCCGATGTACGTCCTCGACTCACACACCGTCACTGTATAGCTCGGCAGCACTGGACAGTACCGGCCTATTCTTGTAACTGTTGGTCCAAGTTTTTGTGTGGACTTTTTATGAAAGCAAGAGGCATGTTTGGTGTGGATGGGTGAGAGGCATGCTGACTGCTGGGTCTTGGACGTTTTCATGGAGGCTCGGTAGGTTTTGCTGGTCGAACTGACTTGTACGTGATTGGAGGTGGTAGCCTCACAAGATTACAATACCAGGATGAAACCCTTCATCCAATACTTCGATCCTTTGAGGGTGCTGTCGGCCCTGCGATTGTACTGATGCACAATGCTCGACCACATAGAGCTAGACTTGTGAATGAAAACCTTCAAGCAGAAGCTATCGAGCGTAACGTCCGCGGCTTCCGGTGAATCGACAAGAGCTTGCTGATGCTCTTCGTCAAGAATGGCCCTACATTCCACCAATGGCTATACGGCGCCGATTCGCAGTATGCCAAGCCGATATCGTGTCGTTATTGGGGCCAATGGTGGACACACTCGCTGTTGATAGTGTTGCTGAACCCACTGAAGCATTCTGAATGTTCAGTGCCATTGGGACTTCAACTTTGTCTGCATGGGATATCAACATTTTATGTAATAGTACCAGACACGCTTGAATAAGATTGATTAAATCTGGATCGACATTGTTTTCTGAACTGTTAAATTTCACTCTTGTATTTCATTTTCCAAAAAGTTTTTGCCTTTTAGTACATGTAGATTTATCTTTAAAAAGTGATCCCAGACTCGATGTGTCGAGTATAGTTTCAACAACTGCAGAACAAAGTATAAGTACGGTGGCTGATTTGTGCAGTTGCGTTATTTCGTTTTCTTCGCGCTGAAAAGACAAAATGACGACAAATTACACGAGAAAGACCAAATAAATGCACGCTAATTAGCGACCTTAACATTCGTCTTTCAGGTTCCAAAATCTCGTCTTTTCGTGTTTTTACTCTGAAATGAAAAAAAAATTAACACATCTTAATTTCGTCTTTTCGGGGCAAAAGGACGAAAGGCCGAAGTTTTTTATTACGTCAGAAAGTACCCGGACATTTGACATCACCTATCAGCTGTCAAGAGGCTTTCGATTATGTCAGAAAGTACCCGGATAAAAGTCATTAATTACAAACTAGCCCTCATTCTCGGGAGTTGAAACGTTCAACAGTGACTTACCGACATTTCAAACGTGTTACAGTCCAAGCTCTGGTCGTGGAGAAAAACGTTTTTAGAAGTATCCATTACAAACACCTAGACGTACAGAATAAAAGATAGTTTTAGAATGATATATATAAATTAAGCCATGTGATTGTATTTTAGATGAACTTAAAATATCTAACATCATGATCAGTAACCGTATCATCGATGTAATAATAAATATTACTGAAGTATAACACACACATATACGTATGATAGGCGGAGTGAGAACAACTAATACTCTGGACTAGTTACCTTATAGGCGGAGTGAGAACAACTTATACTCCGGACTAGTTACCTTATAGGCGGAGTCAGAACAACGTATACTCTGGACTAGTTACCTTATAGGCGGAGTGAGAACAACTTATACTCTGGACTAGTTATCTTATAGGCGGAGTGAGAACAACTTATACTCTGGACTAGTTACCTTAGAGGCGGAGTGAGAACAACTTATACTCTGGACTAGTTACCTTATAGGCGGAGTGAGAACAACTTATACTCTGGACTAGTTATCTTATAGGCGGAGTGAGAACAACTTATACTCTGGACTAGTTACCTTAGAGGCGGAGTGAGAACAACTTATACTCTGGACTAGTTACCTTATAGGCGGAGTGAGAACAACTTATATTCTGGACTAGTTACCTTATAGGCGGAGTGAGAACAACTAATACTCTGGACTAGTTACCTTATAGGCGGAGTCAGAACAACTTATACTCTGGACTAGTTACCTTATAGGCGGAGTGAGAACAACTAATACTCTGGACTAGTTACCTTATAGGCAGAGCGAGAACAACTAATACTCCGGACTAGTTATCTTATAGGCGGAGTGAGAACAACTAATACTCCGGACTAGTTATCTTATAGGCGGAGTGAGAACAACTAATGCTCTGGACTAGTTACCTTATAGGCGGAGTGAGAACAACTAATACTCCGGACTAGTTATCTTATAGGCGGAGTGAGAACAACTAATACTCCGGACTAGTTATCTTATAGGCGGAGTGAGAACAACTAATACTCCGGACTAGTTATCTTATAGGCAGAGTGAGAACAACTTATGCTCTGGACTAGTTACCTTATAGGCGGAGTGAGAACAACTAAAACTCTGGACTAGTTATCTTATAGGCGGAGTCAGAACAATTAATACTCTGGACTAGTTACCGTATAGGCGGAGTCGGAACAGCTTATACTCTGGGCGGCGAACACCGTCACGGGAAGGTATGTTGCGACTAATAAATAAAAAGCAACCCTTCGTAACATCGAACGGCGTCTCCATTTGCGCTCTTTCCGTTTCCGGTCTTTCTCCTGGGACAGCCAGAGTCCCTGTAATCGGATGTTCGTGTATTTAAAATCATATAACATACTATACAGTGTCAACTGAGTTATATCATCACTTCAAAAAGTTATATCTTATCACTAAACAACGTTGTCATTAGTGTAAATAACCCTGTCAACAGCGTAATACTACACATAACTTTGTCAACAGTGATATAACACACATCAAATCACCTCCCTTTTATCAGTGTGATAACACCCATCACATCACCTCCCTGTTATCAATGTGATAACACACATCACATCACCTCACTGTTATCAACATCACATCACCTCCCTGTTATCAGTGTGATAACACACATCAGATCACCTCCCTGTTATCAGTGTGATAACACACATCACATCACCTCCCTGTTATCAGTGTGATAACACACATCACATCACCTCACTGTTATCAGTGTGATAACACACATTACATCACCTCCCTGTTATCAGTGTGATAACACACATCACATCACCTCACTGTTATCAGTGTGATAACACACATTACATCACCTCCCTGTTATCAGTGTGATAACACACATTACATCACCTCCCTGTTATCAGTGTGATAACACACATTACATCACCTCCCTGTTATCAGGGTGATAACACCCTTTAAATACCTTCAATACCATGCCAACAAAAAAATTACACCCATTGCACAACTTCCATTTCATCAATCAGTGTGACCTTGTCACTTACACTGCAGTCAGTGTGACCTTGTCACCAACACTACGGTCAGTGTGACCTTATCACCAACACTACGGTCAGTGTGACCTTGTCACCAACACTACAGTCAGTGTGACCTTGTCACTTACACTGCAGTCAGGGTGACCTTGTCACCAACACTACGGTCAGTGTGACCTTGTCACCATCACTACGGTCAGTATGACCTTGTCACCAACACTACGGTCAGTGTGACTTTGTCACCAACACTACGGTCAGTGTGACCTTGTCACCAACACTACGGTCAGTGTGACTTTGTCACCAACACTACGGTCAGTGTGACCTTGTCACCAACACTACGGTCAGTGTGACCTTGTCACCATCACTACGGTCAGTATGACCTTGTCACCAACACTACAGTCAGTGTGACCTTGTCACCAACACTACAGTCAGTGTGACCTTGTCACCATCACTACGGTCAGTATGACCTTGTCACCAACACTACAGTCAGTGTGACCTTGTCACCAACACTACAGTCAGTGTGACCTTGTCACCAACACTACGGTCAGTGTGACCTTGTCACCAACACTACAGTCAGTGTGACCTTGTCACCAACACTACGGTCAGTGTGACCTTGTCACTTACACTACAGTCAGGGTGACCTTGCCACCAACAGTACAATCGGTGTTACCTTGATAACAACGGTATCAACTTTCTCAGTCAAATTACAATTACTGATGTGGCGACTCACCATACTTTTGTCCACAAACGCCATTAAGACAATGCTGATAAGTGGAGGCAGAAATGACGACATCCAGGTGAAATAATATGACAGTTTTGTTGAGAGTTTCGGGAACAGACAATCTGTTGGAACATATGTTCACATTTATACAATTATCAAACAAGTCAAAGTACAAGAAAAAAATCTATTGTCCCACTATCAGCACTCAGCAATGTAAACCATACTCCAGGGACCATTAATCGGTACAGTGTGGGACAATTGACCCCATTTCAGCAAGCGACACGTCGCCATCCGGGGAAGTACCTTATACAAATCTAATAATGACTATACGATACTGCTGTCATATTGAAATGTTATTAACTGATCTTAACACCAGGACGAGTGGACGAAATAATTACTTGTTACCGCCCACGCTATAAACGTTATCACAGAGTCCATCGGGGACTTATCACTCATCTTAACACTATTACGTACTATGGTGTAGTATCGATTTCTGACGTCACGTTCTGTAACTGTAACTGTTCTCTCGTATATAAGGGTTTTGTACTAGTGTGACGTAACGTTCTATAACTGTAACAGTTCTCTCGTATCTAAGGGTTTTGTACTAGTGTGACGTTACGTTCTATACCTGTAACAGTTCTCTCGTATCTAAGGGTTTTGTACTAGTGTGACGTAACGGTCTATAACTGTAACAGTTCTCTCGTATATAAGGGTTTTGTACTAGTGTGATGTAACGTTCTATACCTGTAACAGTTCTCTCGTATCTAAGGGTTTTGTACTAGTGTGACGTTACGTTCTATACCTGTAACAGTTTTCTCGTATCTAAGGGTTTTGTACTAGTGTGACGTAACGTTCTATAACTGTAACAGTTCTCTCGTATCTAAGGGTTTTGTACTAGTGTGACGTAACGGTCTATAACTGTAACAGTTCTCTCGTATCTAAGGGTCATGTACTAGTGTGATGTAACGTTCTATACCTGTAACAGTTCTCTCGTATCTAAGGGTTTTGTACTAGTGTGACGTTACGTTCTATACCTGTAACAGTTCTCTCGTATCTAAGGGATTTGTACTAGTGTGACGTAACGGTCTATAACTGTAACAGTTCTCTCGTATCTAAGGGTTTTGTACTAGTGTGACGTTACGTTCTATACCTGTAACAGTTCTCTCGTATATAAGGGTTTTGTACTAGTGTAATGTAACGTTCTATAACTGTAACAGTTCTCTCGTATCTAAGGGTCCTGTACTAGTGTGATGTAACGTTCTATACCTGTAACAGTTCTCTCGTATCTAAGGGTTTTGTACTAGTGTGACGTAACGGTCTATAACTGTAACAGTTCTCTCGTATATAAGGGTTTTGTACTAGTGTGACGTAACGTTCTATAACTGTAACAGTTCTCTCGTATCTAAGGGTTTTGTACTAATGTGACGTAACGTTCTATAACTGTAACAGTTCTCTCGTATCTAAGGGTTTTGTACTAGTGTGACGTAACGTTCTATAACTGTAACAGTTCTCTCGTATCTAAGGGTCCTGTACTAGTGTGATGTAACGTTCTATACCTGTAAATGTTCTCTCGTATCTAAGGGTTTTATACTAGTGTGACGTAACGTTCTATAACTGTAACAGTTCTCTCGTATATAAGGGTTTTGTACTAGTGTGACGTAACGTTCTATAACTGTAACAGTTCTCTCGTATCTAAGGGTTTTGTACTAGTGTGACGTAACGTTCTATAACTGTAACAGTTCTCTCGTATATAAGGGTTTTGTACTAGTGTGATGTAACGTTCTATAACTGTAACAGTTCTCTCGTATCTAAGGGTTTTGTACTAGTGTGACGTAACGTTCTATAACTGTAACAGTTCTCTCGTATCTAAGGGTTTTGTACTAGTGTGACGTAACGTTCTATAACTGTAACAGTTCTCTCGTATCTAAAGGTTTTGTACTAGTGTGACGTAACGTTCTATAACTGTAACAGTTCTCTCGTATCTAAGGGTTTTGTACTAGTGTGACGTAACGTTCTATAACTGTAACAGTTCTCTCGTATCTAAGGGTTTTGTACTAGTGTGATGTAACGTTCTATAACTGTAACAGTTCTCGCTTATATAAGGGTTTTGTACTAGTGTGACGTAACGTTCTATAACTGTAACAGTTCTCTCGTATCTAAAGGTTTTGTACTAGTGTGACGTAACGTTCTATAACTGTAACAGTTCTCTCGTATATAAGGGTTTTGTACTAGTGTGACGTAACGTTCTATAACTGTAACAGTTCTCTCGTATCTAAGGGTTTTGTACTAGTGTGACGTAACGTTCTATAACTGTAACAGTTCTCTCGTATATAAGGGTTTTGTACTAGTGTGACGTAACGTTCTATAACTGTAACAGTTCTCTCGTATCTAAGGGTTTTGTACTAGTGTGACGTAACGTTCTATAACTGTAACAGTTCTCTCGTATCTAAGGGTTTTGTACTAGTGTGACGTAACGTTCTATAACTGTAACAGTTCTCTCGTATATAAGGGTTTTGTACTAGTGTGATGTAACGTTCTATACCTGTAACTGTTCTCTCGTATATAAAGGTCCTGTACTAGTGTGATGTAACGTTCTATACCTGTAACTGTTCTCTCGTATATAAGGGTTTTGTACTAGTGTGATGTAACGTTCCATACCTGTAACTGTTCTCTCGTATCTAAGGGTTTTGTACTAGTGTGATGTAACGTTCTATAACTGTAACAGTTCTCTCGTATATAAGGGTTTTGTACTAGTGTGATGTAACGTTCTATAACTGTAACAGTTCTCTCGTATCTAAGGGTTTTGTACTAGTGTGATGTAACGTTCTATAACTGTAACAGTTCTCTCGTACATAAGGGTTTTGTACTAGTGTGATGTAACGTTCTATACCTGTAACTGTTCTCTCTAAGGGTCCTGTACTAGTGTGATGTAACGTTCTATACCTGTAACTGTTCTCTCTAAGGGTCCTGTAATAGTGTGATGTAACGTTCTATAACATTCGTGACTTCTCTCATATCTATGGAATTGTACAAGCATTCTATGACATTTGTGACTTATCTATAGGTCCTGTATGGCCCTCGTATATAAGGACGGCAAATTACAGTCGTTCACTTACGATGGTTAAAAGGGCATCACGGTAAAAACGGCATTTTCTTTTATTGATCGTTTGTGATTTATGCATTTCCATTCACGTTTCTATACTATCCCGACGTTCAGAGTCGATTTCCAATGTCCAGCTTGACCACTTCTTTGGTTCGTGAAACCCCTCTTGACTTTAGCGCGGATAACATTATATAATAGTTTTGAAAACGAGGCAGTTCTTTTTGTAAACACGAACACATGATTGCAGTAGTGACACAGTCAGTAAAATCCCGTTTTTCAGCAACGAAATTTGTTATGAGTGTGGCAATGTTATTTGATAACTCTAAGTCAATTCAGAATTGAGAAAAATAAGTTACATTAATCGCCAACATCGTCACGACCGATTTAGGCGTGAAAAGTTTCTTTTACAGGCGATGGCGTTTTGTGCGCATGCGTTATCGGATGTGACGCAGCTGTCGTTGTTCATAAGGTGATACACTTGATTTGTAAATGCAATAATGAAAAATTAGTTAGAATATCGTTTAACAGTGATATCACATTAATTGAGTGGTGGAATATACAATTATCTTACTCCTAACATGAACGCAAACATCGACGACTATTTTAACAGAGTGGATCTGATAACATCTCCTCATTTTCACATTATATTCGGTAATTGAAGAGAAATTTACATTAACAGGGCAATATGTATACCTGACAACACCATTAGAAACATCGAAGAGAGGGATTCTCACTATATTTATTACTGGAAGTGCAGACAATTTCGCGTTTTACGTGAGGTTTGGTGCGAGTGTGATATATTGGGCGCGCTACTAACACTACTGACAATAGATGTGTAATACTACCCCCGTGCCTACTTGTCTAGCCCATACTTATCGCTAAGAAGTCGGCATTGGAGAAGGCAAAGGTTAACAAGGACATTGCCACTGGGATCAGAGCAGGCCACGTGATCTTCAACATAAATGTCAGCAGCAGGAGTTGGCAGAAATTCACCACGATCTTTATCTGGACGAAAGCAACGAAAATCGCATTATAACGCTTATAGAACATGACATTAAACGGAACACTACAACAGCATATCAGGAGCCATTAACTGGATTTGTTTTTAGGTACTTCAATAATACATGACCGTATCCAGGTCATTCGATCATTTGAAAGGTTAACAAAAAAAAAAAACTCAAGTGACAAGACATGGCACCAGCATAGAATTTACGTCTGCTGCCAATGACTTATTGACAATTGACCTAACCAATGTCAAGCTTACTGGTTTAACAAGAGGTCAAACACATTTACACCGTGTAAGGCATATCACTCTTACTGACCTTCAGCATTTCACAACGTCAGAATTGTTTCTGTCGTAAATTAATCAGGTTAGAAAAAACATGACGACTGTCTGAGGTATAGTAAGTGTTACATATGTTCAAACACACTGTACATTGTAGGTGTGATGTATACACTGTACATCGTAGGTGTGATGTATACACTGTACATTGTAGGTGTGATGTATACAGTACACTGTTCATTGTAGGTGTGATGTACACAATACACTATACATTGTAGGTGTGATGTATACAGTACAATGTAGGTATGATGTATACACTGTACATTGTAGGTGTGATGTATACTGTACATTGTAGGTGTGATGTATACAGTACACTGTACATTGTAGGTGTGATGTATACACTGTACATTGTAGGTGTGATGTACACAGTACACTGTACATTGAAGGTGTGATGTATACACTGTACATTATAGGTGTGATGTACACAGTACACTGTACATTGTAGGTGTGATGTATACAGTACACTGTACATTGTAGGTGTGATGTATACACTGTACATTGTAGGTGTGATGTACACAGTACACTGTACATTGAAGGTGTGATGTATACACTGTACATTATAGGTGTGATGTACACAGTACACTGTACATTGTAGGTGTGATGTATACAGTACACTGTACATTGTAGGTGTGATGTACACAGTACACTGTACATTGTAGGTGTGATGTACACAGTACAATGTAGGTGTGATGTATACAATACACTGTACATTGTAGGTGTGATGTATACTATACGTTGTAAGTGAGATGTATACAGTACATGTATACTGTACATTGTAGGTGTGATGTATACAGTACACTGTACATTGTAGGTGTGATGTATACACTGTACATTGTAGGTGTGATGTACACAGTACACTGTACATTGAAGGTGTGATGTATACACTGTACATTATAGGTGTGATGTACACAGTACACTGTACATTGTAGGTGTGATGTATACAGTACACTGTACATTGTAGGTGCGATGTATACACTGTACATTGTAGGTGTGATGTACACAGTACACTGTACATTGAAGGTGTGATGTATACACTGTACATTATAGGTGTGATGTACACAGTACACTGTACATTGTAGGTGTGATGTATACAGTACACTGTACATTGTAGGTGTGATGTACACAGTACACTGTACATTGTAGGTGTGATGTACACAGTACAATGTAGGTGTGATGTATACAATACACTGTACATTGTAGGTGTGATGTATACTATACATTGTAAGTGAGATGTATACAGTACATGTATACTGTACATTGTAGGTGTGATGTATACAGTACACTGTACATTGTAGGTGTGATGTATACAGTACACTGTACATTGTAGGTGTGATGTATACACTGTACATTGTAGGTGTGATGTACACAGTACACTGTACATTGAAGGTGTGATGTATACACTGTACATTATAGGTGTGATGTACACAGTACACTGTACATTGTAGGTGTGATGTATACAGTACACTGTACATTGTAGGTGTGATGTACACAGTACACTATACATTGTATGTGTGATGTACACAGTACAATGTACATTGTAGGTGTGATGTACACAGTACAATGTAGGTGTGATGTATACAGTACACTGTACATTGTAGGTGTGATGTATACTGTACATTGTAAGTGTGATGTATACAGTACACTGTACATTGTAGGTGTGATGTACACAGTACACTGTACATTGTAGGTGTGATGTATACACTATACATTGTATGTGTGATGTACACAGTACAATGTACATTGTAGGTGTGATGTACACAGTACAATGTAGGTGTGATGTATACAGTACACTGTACATTGTAGGTGTGATGTATACTGTACATTGTAAGTGTGATGTATACAGTACACTGTACATTGTAGGTGTGATGTATACAGTACACTGTACATTGTAGGTGTGATGTATACACTATACATTGTATGTGTGATGTACACAGTACAATGTACCTTGTAGGTGTGATGTATACAGTACACTGTACATTGTAGGTGTGATGTATCCACTGTACATTGTAGGTGTAATGTATACACTGTACATTGTAGGTATGATGTATACAGTACACTATACATTGTAGGTGTGATGTATACACAGTACATTGTAGGTGTGATGTATACACTGTGCATTGTAGGTGTGATGTATACAGTACACTATACATTGTAGGTGTGATGTATACAGTACACTATACATTGTAGGTGTGATGTATACAGTACACTGTACATTGTAGGTGTGATGTAAACACTGTTTATTGTAGGTGTGATGTATACACAGTACATTGTAGGTGTGATGTATACACTGTGCATTGTAGGTGTGATGTATACAGTACACTATACATTGTAGGTGTGATGTATACAGTACACTATACATTGTAGGTGTGATGTATACAGTACACTGTACATTGTAGGTGTGATGTAAACACTGTACATTGTAGGTATGATGTATACAGTACACTATACATTGTAGGTGTGATGTATACACTGTACATTGTAGGTATGATGTATACAGTACACTATACATTGTAGGTGTGAAGTATACACAGTACATTGTAGGTGTGATGTATACACTGTGCATTGTAGGTGTGATGTATACAGTACACTATACATTGTAGGTGTGATGTATACAGTACACTGTACATTGTAGGTGTGATGTAAACACTGTTTATTGTAGGTGTGATGTATACAGTACACTGTACATTGTAGGTGTGATGTATACAGTACACTGTACATTGTAGGTGTGATGTATACAGTACATAGGTGTGATGTATACAGTACACTGTACATTGTAGGTGTGATGTACACAGTACACTGTACATTGTAAGTGTGATGTATATAGTACACTGTACATTGTAGGTGTGATGTATACACTGTACATTGTAGGTGTGATGTTTACACTGTACATTGTGGGTGTGATGTATACACTGTACATTGTAGGTGTGATGTTTACACTGTACATTGTGGGTGTGATGTATACACTGTACATTGTAGGTGTGATGTATACACTGTACATTGTAGGTGTGATGTATACAGTACACTGTACATTGTAGGTGTGATGTTTACACTGTACATTGTAGATGTGATGTATACACTGTACATTGTAGGTGTGATGTATACAGTACACTCTACATTGTAGGTGTGATGTATACAGTACACTCTACATTGTAGGTGTGATGTACACAGTACACTGTACATTGTAGGTGTGATGTATACAGTACACTGTACATTGTAGGTGTAATGTATACAGTACACTGTACATTGTAGGTGTGATGTACACAGTACACTGTACATTGTAGGTGTGATGTATACAGTACACTGTACATTGTAGGTGTAATGTATACAGTACACTGTACATTGTAGGTGTGATGTATACAGTACACTGTACATTGTGGGTGTGATGTATACACTGTACATTGTGGGTGTGATGTATACACTGTACATTGTATGTGTAATGTATACAGTACACTGTACATTGTAGGTGTGATGTATACAGTACACTGTACATTGTAGGTGTGATGTATACAGTACATATGTTATAGGGAAGAAACATGTTTGGGTATTAAGTAGAATAAACTTCCCAGGGTTTTATTACAAAATCCAACTTGTTATAGAGGTAGCAATTATTCATATTTTTGAGAGCATCTTTGCTGTGAGGTATACATATATGTGTATTTATATATATAGAGGAATATGTATGTATAATTTAGGTGTCATGTATAGGGGTAAATTTTACGTTCATCATTGAATTTTCTCTGTTTAAATTGCTGCTTTCTAATTTGTCAATTTTTTTCATTGAAAAAAATCTAGCTCCGCCCACTTGATAGTGATTGGAGGAGTCAATGGCAACACGACACGTGGTGGTGGCTATGTCAAGACTAATTTTCTTTATTAATGGAATTCGTGTTTACTATCTATCGTCCGCGGACTCGTGTGTTACTTCTAGTTAGACTACCTGTCACTCCTGTTATTTCATCACTGGATACTCACTGCTTGGCGAGTAGTAAACAGAACTTAATGATAAACCCTCTAATGACTGTATTTTGATTGACTGAAAGTGATGTGAATTAGTCGCCAATGACGTCACTCACGTCACGCTAGATCTAATGCGTAGTGATGTGTTCGAGGATTATACTTTATGGAATAATACAATATTTATTTATTCATGTGCTGTGTGGGTTTTTTTTCTAACTTTTGAAACGTATTTCAACAGATGATGACAAGCTTTTGACAGGAACATTTAAGTTTCATGCTGGTATGGAAAAAATACATATATCATGCAAACTTATCCCGAATGCGCGTTTCATTCAGTTTCGTTTTTTTCATGTCAGCTTTGATAATTTAGGTATGAGGTATGTGTGTGTATTGTAGATATGAGGTATGTGTGTATTGTAGGTGTGAGATATGTGTATATTGTAGGTGTGAGGTATGTGTGTATTGTAGGTGTGAGGTATGTGTGTATTGTAGGTGTGAGATATGTGTATATTGTAGGTGTGAGGTATGTGTGTATTGTAGGTGTGAGGTATGTGTATATTGTAGGTGTGAGGTATGTGTGTATTGTAGGTGTGAGGTATATGTGTATTGTAGGTGTGAGGTATATGTATATTGTAGGTGTGAGGTATGTGTGTATTGTAGGTGTGAGGTGTGTGTATATTGTAGGTGTGAGGTATGTGTGTATTGTAGGTGTGAGGTATATGGGTATTGTAGGTGTGAGGTATATGTGTATTGTAGGTGTGAGGTATGTGTATATTGTAGGTGTGAGGTATGTGTGTATATTGTAGGTGTGAGGTATGTGTATATTGTAGGTGTGAGGTATGTGTGTATTGTAGGTGTGAGGTATGTGTGTGTATTGTAGGTGTGAGGTATGTGTTTATTGTAGGTGTGAGGTATGTGTGTATTGTAGGTGTGAGGTATGTGTGTGTATTGTAGGTGTGAGGTATGTGTGTATTGTAGGTGTGAGGTATGTGTATATTGTAGGTGTGAGGTATATGTGTGTATATTGTAGGTGTGAGGTATGTGTATATTGTAGGTGTGAGGTATGTGTGTGTATATTGTAGGTGTGAGGTATGTGTGTATATTGTAGGTGTGAGGTATGTGTGTGTATATTGTAGGTGTGAGGTATGTGTGTATATTGTAGGTGTGAGGTATGTGTGTATATTGTAGGTGTGAGGTATGTGTATATTGTAGGTGTGAGGTATGTGTGTATGTGTGTATATTGTAGGTGTGAGGTATGTGTATATTGTAGGTGTGAGGTATGTGTGTATATTGTAGGTGTGAGGTATGTGTATATTGTAGGTGTGAGGTATGTGTGTATATTGTAGGTGTGAGGTATGTGTGTATATTGTAGGTGTGAGGTATGTGTGTATTGTAGGTGTGAGGTATGTGTGTGTATTGTAGGTGTGAGGTATGTGTGTATATTGTAGGTGTGAGGTATGTGTGTATATTGTAGGTGTGAGGTATGTGTGTATTGTAGGTGTGAGGTATGTGTGTATATTGTAGGTGTGAGGTATGTGTGTATATTGTAGGTGTGAGGTATGTGTGTATTGTAGGTGTGAGGTATGTGTGTATATTGTAGGTTTGAGGTATGTTTGTATATTGTAGGTGTGAGGTATGTGTGTATATTGTAGGTGTGAGGTATGTGTGTATATTGTAGGTGTGAGGTATGTGTGTGTATTGTAGGTGTGAGGTGTGTGTATAGGTGTGTATATGTGTATATTGTAGGTGTGAGGTATGTGTGTAGGTGTGAGGTATGTGTGTATTGTAGGTATGAGGTATGTGTGTATATTGTAGGTGTGAGGTATGTGTGTATATTGTAGGTGTGAGGTATGTGTGTATATTGTAGGTGTGAGGTATGTGTGTATATTGTAGGTGTGAGGTATGTGTGTATATTGTAGGTGTGAGGTATGTGTATATTGTAGGTGTGAGGTATGGGTGTATATTGTAGGTGTGAGGTATGTGTGTATATTGTAGGTGTGAGGTATTTGTGTATATTGTAGGTGTGAGGTATGTGTGTATATTGTAGGTGTGAGGTATGTGTGTATTGTAGGTGTGAGGTATGTGTATATTGTAGGTGTGAGGTATGTGTGTGTATTGTAGGTGTGAGGTATGTGTGTGTATATTGTAGGTGTGTATGTTTGTATTGTGTGTGATTGTATGTGTGTGTAGGTGTGATGTGTGTATTGTAGGTGTGAGGTATGTGTGTATATTGTAGGTGTGAGGTATGTGTGTATATTGTAGGTGTGAGGTATGTGTGTATTGTAGGTGTGAGGTATGTGTGTATATTGTAGGTGTGAGGTATGTGTGTATATTGTAGGTGTGAGGTATATGTGTGTATATTGTAGGTGTGAGGTATGTGTATATTGTAGGTGTGAGGTATGTGTGTATTGTAGGTGTGAGGTATGTGTGTATATTGTAGGTGTGAGGTATGTGTGTATTGTAGGTGTGAGGTATGTGTGTGTGTATTGTAGGTGTGAGGTATGTGTGTATATTGTAGGTGTGAGGTATGTGTGTATTGTAGGTGTGAGGTATGTGTGTATATTGTAGGTGTGAGGTATGTGTATGTGTGTGTGAGGTATGTGTGTATTGTGTGTGAGGTATGTGTGGTATGTGTGTATATTGTAGGTGTGAGGTATGTGTGTGTATTGTAGATGTGAGGTATGTGTGTATTGTAGGTGTGAGGTATGTGTGTATATATTGTAGGTGTGAGGTATGTGTGTGTGTATTGTAGGTGTGTATGTGTGTATTGTAGGTGTGTATATGTGTATGTGTGTGATTGTAGGTGTATGTGTGATATGTGTGTATTGTAGGTGTGATGTATATGTGTATATATTGTATGTGTGAGGTATATGTGTATATTGTAGGTGTGATGTATATGTGTATATATTGTAGGTGTGAGGTATGTGTATATATTGTAGGTGTGAGGTATGTGTGTATATTGTAGGTGTGAGGTATGTGTATATATTGTAGGTGTGAGGTATGTGTGTATTGTAGGTGTGAGGTATGTGTATATTTTAGGTGTGAGATATGTGTGTATTATAGGTATTTAGGTAAAACGTTGGACTAACCTTTGTAAAAACAGACACAGTAAACCCGTTGACCAATGAGACGAGAAATAGGAGAAGGACAAACACTCCAAAAGTTAAAACTGACCATGGTCCAGACAGACAAGCCACACAGTGGTTCCCAACTCGATGATATTCTGCGAGTTAAAACAGATTTTAAAACTCGTACTGTTTAAATGGCTACATACAATCTTTGAAATAAGAAGAAAATATATTTCATCACTTACAGTGGTTTTTTTTTTCTGAAATTTTTTCTATGTTCAGTTTTCTGTTGTCAAACAAAATAAAAAAAATATCGCTGATTGCTAGCGAAAATCAGTACTTAGTATAAATTTGATTACAACCATACGCTGTCATACCTACAAAGATCTATGTAACAAGAAAATGTCCCAAACTTTCTTTTATTTCTTTCTTGAATTTTTTTGCTCGTAAAGCTTATAACGTTAAGTGATGTTAAATTTGGACCAGAATTAATGCCGTTATTGCCCCCGTATAACCACGGATTGGTACTACACGGTGAATAATAATTCTTCAGTTAAATTATATCTTCAATTCTCAAATAAATGTCAGTTTGATTTTAAGTTAAGTGATTATCTTGAGAACGTGTAGCGATGGATCGCTCGGTCGTTAATATTATCTGTTGATTAAATATGTCCCAGCCATAACGTAATGGAGTTAAGGTGCATTATGAACTCATAAAGTCCCATTGACAGTTCTCTCGTGTATACCATTGAATTCATTTTAGTGCAAGTTACTTGAATAAAACTAGAGGTCTTCCGATTGTCTTCCCTTAGGGAATGCTTGGTGATTAATATCGGGGCATATCAACTTTGTTGTCTGAAAAAGGTGCGATACAATTGTAACAATTTACGCAAAAGATTGTGTGTCATACCGATAACATGATAGTTTAAAAACGATACTGATTGCACGTGTTTTATGCGTTTTCATTCACGTTTCTATGCTATCACGAAATTCACACTCGATTTCCAATGTCCAGCTTGACCACTTCTTTGATTCGGTAAACTCCTCTGAAATTAGCGCTGATAACGTCACGTATTAGTTTTGAAAACGAGGCATTTTATTTTGTAAACGCGAACTTACGATGGCAGGCAGAAATAACAACGACCGTATACATAGTGACCAAATAATTAAAATCCCGTTTTTCAGCAACAATTTCTCGGCCCAATCAGGCGAAAAGCCATTTCTGTTTACAGGCGACGGTGATTTGTGCGCATGCGTTATTTTATATAACGCAAAAATTTACATATCCAGGCTGTTGATCAACGGATAAGGATTTCCTTTTCACAATTATCAATTAACCTATTCAGGTGTGTGGTTCATGAGATGATACACTTGATTTATATATGCAAAAATAAAAAAAATCTTTAAAAAGTATTCATTTTTCATTAATCAATTTTAAAGAATACAAAGGTATAGGAGTCACCTGTCTGGAATATACAGGTATAGGAGTCCCCTGTCTGGAATATACAGGCATAGGAGTCACCTGTCTGGAATATACAGGCATAGGAGACACCTGTCTGGAATATACAGGCATAGGAGTCGCCTGTCTGGAATATACAGGCATAGGAGTCACCTGTCTGGAATATACAGGTATATGAGTCACCTGTCTAGAATACAAATGCGTAGGAGTCTCCTGTCTGGAATACAAATGTGAAGGAGTCTCCTGTCTAGAATACAAATGTGTAGGAGTCTCCTGTCTAGAATACAAATGTGTAGGAGTCCCCTGTCTAGAATACAAATGTGTAGGAGTCCCCTGTCTAGAATACAAATGCGTAGGAGTCTCCTGTCTAGAATACAAATGTGTAGGAGTCTCCTGTCTAGAATACAAATGTGTAGGAGTCTCCTGTCTAGAATACAAATGTGTAGGAGTCCCCTGTCTAGAATACAAATGTGTAGGAGTCACCTGTCTAGAATACAAAGGTATAGAAGTCACCTGTCTAGAATACAAATGTGTAGGAGTCTCCTGTCTAGAATACAAATGTGTAGGAGTCCCCTGTCTAGAATACAAATGTGTAGGAGTCACCTGTCTAGAATACAAATGCGTAGGAGTCCCCTGTCTGGAATACAAATGTGTAGGAGTCTCCTGTCTGGAATACAAATGCGTAGGAGTCCCCTGTCTAGAATACAAATGTGTAGGAGTCACCTGTCTAGAATACACAGGTATAGGAGTCACCTGTCTAGAATACACAGGTATAGGAGTCACCTGTTTCAATTCTGTTAGTCCATTCCTTTCCAAATACTTACCCTATTGCGCTTCCGTTCAAGCCAACAACAGTAATTCATAAAATAATTGATTTCACTGGGATTTTTTAACTGAATGCATTTTTTTTCAGATTTCAGGAAGGGTTAACAGAGATAGAAGTCGCGTGGAAGTCAAGTCGCGTTGGTTTTATCAGGCTTGTTTACTACAATAGTCCTGGTGTAACGTACGGAGAAGTCTATTGTAACGTAAAAAAGTGTTAGCGATACCACAAAAACGGTCTGTCACTTCAATAAGCTATATACCCTATATACCCCAGTACAGTGCACAAATTATCACAAATATGTCCGGGGAGAATAGAGGACCAAATTGGCATTTAACGTTGTACGAATAAATGGAGCAAAAAGACAAAATACCAGGGAGTAAATTTCACCTTTAAATTGAAACTTTCCTCGCTAAAACGTTTACGTTTATATGGAAAGTGTATCCTTTCTTTATGTGACAAGACTATTGTACAAAATACACACAAGTGAATAGAGTTAGATACAGTAGAGCCAATCAGTGAGTAATACTATATTACACAGCTGTTTTATCCTTATATGACTCGTCTGTGATGCCAAGGGCCTAAATTTTGAAGCGATTGAGGGAAATCCAAAGTGCTCGAAAGAAAAGTCCAAATGTAGACAGGGAGTCACAGCAGCCCATAACTATATAAATTATATTTAAATTTTTTTATATCATACAACTTTAGAACAGTATGCAATATATATATATACACAAGGCGAGAAAACCGCGACGAAACTCCATTAATTTCGTAGTCGCCATAACGTCAAGTATTACTAGTCGAATAGGTTTAAACTTGATTTTTTTTTATTTCATTCAAGTTTGATAATAAGAAAGAGAGATAAAATATCATTTATACATACATCACAGAATTTAGGAAATGTAACAAAAATCTCATTAAATATGTATTAAACTCCCAGGTACCTGTTTTTGAATCCCTATGGTCACATTTCTCACAGGTGACACCGTAAGTTCCCTTGGCGCACGTGTTATTGTCCAGACAATTCTGGGGAAAATAGCAGGGCACACAGTGCTCGTGAGGATCCAGGTCTGTGAAAATACAAGTTAAGCACGTCATCATATATCTGGTGGCAAATTAGAATGAGAGACAAAAAGAGGTTAAGTCACAATGTTATGCAATATATATGGACATTTAAGTGCTGAAAGTATTTTTCATTGATAGAGCCTACATCTGTGCGTGATTTGTTAAGTCTACAGCTTGTACAATGTTTGCTGTAGCAAGTAAAAACCTTTCAAGTGCCGAATTTTTCATTTGTTTATTTATTCATGATAAAGTCATATTACCTGTAGCTTCATACATACCTGAATGCTACGGTTGAGGTCGTAAATATTAACATTTCATGGCTGAATGTTACGGCCGAGGTCGTAACTCCTAACGTTTCATACCTGAATGTTACGGTTGAGGTTGTAACTAGTAACGTTTCATACCTGAATGTTACGGTTGAGGTTGTAACTAGTAACGTTTCATACCTGAATGTTACGGTAGAGGTCGTAACTCCTAACGTTTCATGCCTGAATGTTACGGTAGAGGTCGTAACTCCTAACGTTTCATGCCTGAATGTTACGGTTGAGGTCGTAACTCCTAACGTTTCATGCCTGAATGTTACGGTAGAGGTCGTAACTCCTAACGTTTCATGCCTGGATGCAATGTTATAGATGGTAAGCTGCACGGATCAGGATATTTCACAGTTGACCATTCCGGATGATGACGTAACAGTACTGGCTACAGTTACATGATATAAGGAAAATATTTGTAACATCGTTTTAATAATTGACCAATCAAAACGGCATGTTGTATACACTGCATATCAAATGTTGTCGATGGGACAAGTTATTGTGAAATCTATGTAGATATGTATATTCATCAAACGAAATTTCACTAGATAAGTTCATTGTTATATATCACATTTAAAAGTATCACAAAATAACGCCATTGAATTTTACCATGCGTGAAAAATGGAAGTCAGTAATTTTCAAACACAAGTGGAACCCCGTCATTTATTTGCATCTAATGATCCAGTTATTGAGTCTCCGATAATGAACTGTAGGTTCCGTGAAGGCTCTGGTTCGTCAACGACTATTCACGGTATAGGCCATCTGTCCCCTTTATTATCCAAAATTAGATATATACGTTTCTACTTAAAACAATTGTGCACTACAATCCTTAACTATATACACTAAAACCTAATTATACTGTTAAAGTCATTTTTCATTCGTAGACAAGTGAGAAGAATGTATTGATCATCCTGTAAAACGTTCTGAAAGTACACAATTATCTCCTCGTCACCCGTGAGTCCGCTGGAACCAGTTTAATCTTTTAAAAACATTGGTGCTGGTATTGTTCTGGAGAACTTCAGTGCATCCAGTGGCTCAATAGTCCGTACTTCATCAAGAAAGCTTCGGAAATCAAACTATTCATGCAATTTATAGATTAAAGAAGACAAATAAATGAAAAAATTAATTGTAACAGAAGACAAGACGGGGTAAAATCGCTGAAATGTATTCAAATGTTAAGTCAGCAAATAATTTGAACGATAAATTAAAAAAAATTGCAGCATTCAGGCACAACATGCGACAATATTAAAGTAGAAATAGTTAAAACTGGCGGAGAAAATCGATTATGAGCAATATTTTTAGTTTTGATAAGGAACACTGTGTAAATTTACATGTATGTAGCTATATTACTGTACTACACGATTAAAATGGCGATTAATCATTCCAGATAATTAACACTTTGTTCTGCTTCAATATTTAGTTTTTACCTGCTGATAAGTTCTCTCTTTGGAGGAAGTTTTTAAATATGACGTCCAAAATTCGATATTGCAGCATTCTAAATGTCGTAAATAGTTATGAGAGAAGCCCGCAAAATGAGTATGCGTGTATTTAAGATGACAAACGATTCATAACATTGAGTTTTTTTTTTGTCAAACCTAACAATAGATTTTCCCGTCGTTATGTAAAATGAAAATTCGTTAATAGTAGTTTTATGGGCTAGGCGTAGGTGACTGAACCATCACTAGGTAACTGAAAATACCAACTTTTTAATAGGAGTTATCACACGTGGTGCACAGTCAATATTATCATGTGTTGGTATACACAGTACTGTTAAATTTTTTTCCGGATTTTGGAGTTTAACACATATATTGTAAATGAGATAACACAGAAAGCGCATTATCTAACTTTAGTGAGGATACATGACAATAATAACGGCAATCTGGACGTCTCCAACTGGCCATCTGCTCGTCCCAAGGTCCGCATGTTCGGTCGCGACAGACACTGCATAAAACATTCGAGATGAAACTCTTTTCTACAGATAAAAGCGTAACATGAAGTTAACGCCGAACTGAAATGTATTGATACAGGATATCGGCTACCGCTTTATGGCCCTGACAAAGCTGTACACTTCCTAGTTTTAATTTACACGAAGTGATGGTAACTGAGAACACTTAATGTTACAAACTTCAGACGGTCTGCACATCAGATCATAGACAAGATCGGCTTTATTTGTAGGAAACTCTTCAACAACTGCACACCAATTAAGGCCGGAATTCAAAAAATAAAAAAAACAACAACCCTAAATTTGTTGATTTTATCTTTAGAATTTCCTTCGTTCAAAGGGAAAACGCTGTCAGGGAGAAAAAAATGTTCTAGTCCTAATTAACATGTTAGCTAAACTTTGAAATCAATCTTCGACAATTATCTGTCTATTATTGTTACAACTCAGAAAACTGCAATTGAAAACAAATTAATTCAGAAATAACAACAAAAATTGAAATGATAATAAACCCCCCCTCCCATAATAATGGAATAACAATGATGCAAAGAATAGATACAATATCAATAACGAATACTCAGCGTTTGTCAGTCAAACGTGTTTTCTTACATGACATATTGTTAATGTCAAACATGCCAATGTTTACAGGACGTGCTAACAGTGTTTCAAACATGCCAATGTTTACAGGACGTGCTAACAGTGTTTCAAACATGCCAATGTTTATAGGACGTTCTCAAATTGTCAAACATGTCAATGTTTATAGGACCTGGTGATATTGTCACACATGTCAGTGTTTATAGGACGTTCTGACATTGTCAAACATGTCGATGTTTACAGGACGATCTGACAGTGTCAAACATGTCAATGTTTATAGGACCTGGTGACATTGTCACACATGCCAATGTTTACAAGACGTTCTGACATTGTCAAACATGTCATTGTTTATAGGACCTGGTGACATTGTCAAACATGTCAATGTTTATAGGACCCGGTGACATTGTCACACATGCCAATGTTTACAGGACGTTCTGACATTGTCAAACATGTCGGTGTTTATAGGACCTGGTGACATTGTCACACATGTCAATGTTTATAGGACCTGGTGATATTGTCACACATGCCAATGTTTATAGGACCTGGTGATATTGTCACACATGCCAATGTTTACAGGACGTTCTGACATTGTCAAACATGTCAATGTTTATTAGACCTGGTGACATTGTCACACATGTCAATGTTTATAGGACCTGGTGACATTGTCAAACATGTCAATGTTTATTAGACCTGGTGATATTGTCACACATGTCAATGTTTATAGGACGTTATGACATTGTCAAACATGTCACTGTTTATAGGACCTGGTGATATTGTCACACATGTCAGTGTCTACAGGACGATCTGGCATTGTCAAACATGTCAGTGTTTACAGGACGATATGACTGTCAAACATGTCAGTGTCTACAGGACGATATGACAGTGTAAAATATGTCAGTGTCTACAGGACGATCTGACATTGTCAAACATGTCAATGTTTATAGGACGTTATGACATTGTCAAACAAGTCAGTGTTTACAGGACGATATGACAGTGTCAAACATGTCAGTGTCTACAGGACGATATGACAGTGTACAATATGTCAATGTTTACAGGACGATCTGACAGTGTCAAACATGTCAGTGTCTACAGGACGATCTGACATTGTCAAACATGTCAATGTTTATAGGACCTGTTGACATTGTCAAATATGTCAAAGTTTATAGGACGTTCTGACAGTGTCAAACATGTCGATGTTTACAGGACGATCTGACAGTGTCAAACATGCCAATGTTTATAAGACCTGGTGATAGTGTCAAACATGTCAGTGTTTATAGGACGTTCTGTGAGTATCAAACATGTCAGTGTTATGTTACGTATAAACAGGTAGTGTCACTTGGCTATTGACCCTATAATAGTAAATTATTTCTACTTTTATTGTTGCCCTATGAGGGTTTTTAACTCTCACTTGAATTGCATAGTTCATCCTCTGCTCACGAGAACACTCGAAACAAAACACAGGCTATATGATGTGGAAATTTAGAGTAACAGACTGCCTAAAACCGGTCTTTTTCTGTGGTGAATGGGGTGGAGCGAGAACTGAGGATATGAGGGTAGCATTTAGTTTGGCCTACATTTAAATCTGACAGTAAACAGTAAGATGCGCGATACAGTAACAAGCAAATAAGAAAATACAAGTCTATCGAATACTGAATGTAGATATATATTTACCTATGCTGTTACCATCAGATACCACAGGTTGATGGAAGGCCTTCGTGACGTTCATACAGTGGTAACCCGGACCAACATTTTCAGTTATGGAATGACAAAGCACAAACCGTGACGAGTGCAAAAGGCTTATCGTCAACAGTACTTCAGCTCTAGATATATACTTCATGGCGACATTCGAAATTACCGAAATTATCACATGGACATAATTCACAGAATAAGTGAATCAGCAAGACTTTGAAAATTTAAGATACCAACTGTTTAACTGAAGATCGATGTTCTGTCGCCATAACAAGATCCGGTTCTTTCGAATATGGCGGTCCTGGCACTTATTTTTTATTAGAGTTGTTCCCCTTTAATTTCTCTTTCAGTAATGTATTGACTTTAAAGTCCCGCAATCGATTCAAGTTGTAAAATAATATTTCATAAACTTCCGAAAACGAATGGGCATGTGTGATTTAGAAAAAAAAGTTAACGCTGAGCTTTGCCTGCTCATGCGGAACGGTCAATTATGATTCATCACAGGCCTATCTTATCTGTAGTAATAATTAAAGGCGACACGTAACCATAAAGAAATAAATAAAATAATTAAGCAGTTTATCTGATCACATAGCAGGCATCAGGGTAACCCTATTATGATATCCCCGCCATCAACATATGGCGTAGTAATTATTTAAAATGAAAATTGTCATTGAATATGCCGTATTTTCGAGCCATTTCTTACGTCAAGATTTTGTTCTTTTTTCGTTTTAATTTTCTGGTTTTTTTTTTTTTTTACGTGGGGGGAGTGGAGAGTGGGAGAGTTGGGATTAAAGCTATGAATATCAATATTGAGACTTCCGTTTCCCGGATAAATCAACTAGACAGAGTCCAGCTCTAATGACATATCAATTTAACTCGTAGACGTCTTGTCGACGATTTGGAATTATATAAGAACTCAGTTGCAAACATGCATTATCTTGCTTTATGCTACCAATTGTTCAACGTATGGTGTATAGTGGCCATCAAACTTAATCCTGGCCTTGGACTGGTAATCTGATAACGATTTTCTGAATCAGTCTTTATTTCCTGTGTGACATTAAAACATTTAAAATGGTTATTCGATTGGTGTCTATTTTGGAATCGACGCCACATCTATCAAGTATATCATGGTTAAAGTCTTGCAGTGAATCGTGTAGTGTCACGAATCTGTACGGCAAAGGTTGGTGCCTGTCATAAATTCTCCTTCATACTTCCGTCGTACAAATCATATGTCGTACTACTTACCTGTTTTACATGTGATGGGTCACGTTGCCAGGTTACAGGTCTAGTGTGACAAATGTTACATCTGTTGTCTTGGTTACTTGACAGAAAAATGTAATAATGTATGGACATGTAGCAAGTATATGTGCAATTAATGTGTATCCCATTGGTTACCTGTCTGATATACACTGTACCTGTTGACTTGGTTACCTGTCTGACATACACTGTGTCTGACATACACGGTATCTGTTGCCTTGGTTGCCTGTCTGGCATACACTGTATTTGTTGCCTTGGTTACCTGTCTGACATACACTTTGTATGGTTTCTGTTGCCTTGTTTACCTGTCTGACACTGTAAATGTAGCTTGCTTGCAAAGTCCTTTTTGTGAGATAAATAAAACACGACCAAACATAAAATTAGGCAGTTGTGTTAATCTGGGCCTATTGGAAAATGAATATCTAACCCAACTTATTTACAGTGTTGGTACGGGAATGTGATACAAAATGTATTGTGATATTAAACGTTTCCCCTTTAACAAGACTGCAGTGTTATATTAACCGTATTCAACCTCTAATGTGATAATAAACGTCACAAACTAATCGAGACTGGAGAGTGATATCGAATGTTCAAATCTTTGCAAAATTGCATTACAAAATCATATACACATTAAAGAAAAGTGTTCAATTTTTTTCTCGCCAAGCTAGTAAGAATTTATCGGTGAACCTATTCCTGCTGATTGAAACACGCAATCTACAATATTCACTAAATACTTGATGGTTTATGACAGCGGGGCTTATTTCTATTAGAATTTCGTTCCATGGTCAATATAGGAAAACGGACAGAGAGTTAAGCCATGTTAAATTAAGCCTGATCATTAACACCTTAACGATGTGAAGTTATCGACCTTTCTTTCAGGATGTCTAGACGACGCTGATCACTCCAATATAGTGGTTCGGCGCAGGGGTTACCGAGGACCATCGATCTCCACCAGTAATTTGACAGGGGTGCTGGGTAGGGCAGAATTGGTTGGTATGGGGCGCCCGGCGTCATCTGTATTTGTCAATCTTGTATAACGTATTTGTGAGCCGCTAGTGTGAGATCACAAGCACAAATAAATAGGCGCTATTCTTTAGACTATGCCACAATGAAACGTTGCCGAGCTACCATACGCCACATCACCAGTTACCACATCTAACACGTCCCATTTCCACCATACGCCACATCACCAGTTACCACATCTAACATGTCCAAAGTCCACCATGGGTCACATTATCAGTTACAACAATCCTTAGTTACCACAAGTTACTCGTCTCCAGTCTACCACACGTGTCCATGTACAGTTACCATAACAAACACGGCCCAAGTCTACCACATATGTCATCCTCAGTTCCCACAAGATCCCAGTTTATCACACGTGTCATGCAAACTTACCACATATAACGTCTCCTGTCTACCATTCTACCAGATCTAACACGTTCTCAGTCTACCACACGTGTCATCCTTAGTCACCAAGACTACCCAGTTTACCACGTGTGTCATCTTAAATTACCATGATGACACCTCTCCAGTCTACAACACATGTCATCATCAGTTACCACAATGACACGTCCCTTGTCTACCACACGTGTCATCTTTAGTTACCACAATGACACGTCCCTAGTCTACCACACCTGCCATCCTTTGTTACCACAATGACACATCCCTATTCTACCACACTTGTCATCCTTAGTTACCACAATGACACGTTTCTAGTCTACCACACATGTCAACCTTAGTTACCACAATAACACGTCCCTAGTCTACCACACGTGTCATCCTTTGTTACCACAATGACACGTCCCTGTTCTACCACATGTGTCATCCTTTGTTACCACAATGACACGTCCCTATTCTACCACACGTGTCATCCTTTGTTACCACAATGACACGTCTCTAGTCTACCACACATGTCATCCTTTGTTACCACAATGACACGTTCCTAGTCTACCACACGTGTCATCCTTAGTTACCACAATGACACGTCCCTATTCTACCACACGTGTCATCCTTAGTTACCACAATGACACCTCCCTAGTCTATTTTTTTAATGTTCGCGATGGCATGTTTTTATTGTTTTGTTTACCTGTCTTCACCACATTATATGTACAACAGTTTTGGACGCAATCCCTCCCAGAGTGCATTGCGGTATCCCAATAACACCTATGTATACGGCTCGTGCCATTTAAAGATTCTTGAAAAAAGTATTTGTGTCCAGTAATAAAGTCTTTTATTATTTTTTTCTGCTATGTTAATCGTATTATTATTTTGAAAATAAATATTTTTTCTGCCGGAAAATGACATCATTTTATATAGATTATTTTGCGGAAGATTAATCGTCGTGTTTACATTTTGTACTTTCACTTTTTAATTACCGACGTGTTTCCTGAGATACATAGTGATATAGCGCGATATCAATGAAACTGATGGTATTGACTACAACATTGACACATAACCTCTCAAAAAGCACAAATATTAATTTTTACACTGACATACAAAACAATCTTCATTTGTGTCGTTTGTTGATGTTGTCTGGGATGCCACCATAGTTTTGTTGAAGTCAAACATTGGCAGTTAATGAACCGTTTACAGGGGTGTTTTGTGACTGTTAATGAACGACAACTCTCGCAGAGATTTTAATGTTATGATGATAAGACTATATTGTGACGTCAGAATGCTCTTGGCCGCCATTCGTGTTTTGGATGCTGCCAGTACTGGATTATTCCTGTGTAAGAGAGGAATATTATTGGATTCTCAAATTATATTTCCCAAAATATAGATGTATATACCCACCAGAATTGAAAATTACGGACACGATTGACTCTTCTATATCAGTCGCTTACCTCGATCTATTCCTACAACGAAACCAACTGACAAGCGTGATGATTTCAATTTCCCTGTTTTGAATTTTCCATTTCTGAAACTTTACTCCCTTGCATCCTCAATCTTTGCTGTTTATCTCTCGCATTTGATTCGTGCCCCGAGTTTTCTAGATGTGAGGACGAGGGACCTCGAGTTGTGAAGGTGTGAGGACGAGGGACCTCGAGTTGTGAAGGGGTGAGGACGAGGTATCCCGAGTATTCTAGGTGTGGGGACGAGGTACCCCGAGTATTCTAGGAGTGAAGACGAGGTACCCCTAGTTGTGAAGGTGTGAGGACGAGGTACCCCGAGTTGTGAAGGTGTGAGGACGAGGTACCCCGAGTTGTGAAGGTCTAAGGACGAGGTACCCCGAGTTGTGAAGGTGTGAGGACAAGGTACCCCGAGTTGTGAAGGTCTGAGGATGAGGGAACGTTTACCTCGGATGAGAAACCAACAATGCATGCGCTTGATTTGACTCTGTAATCCGGTGTCCTTTGGACAAACTAGTATCCCAGTATGTAAACACAGCTATTTCAATATTTTAGAAACAGCGTCACAAAGCTACTGTTGACCAATGTCTTATTCCCAAAGGTCAAAATGCTATGTCCGTACTTAACGCGGCTTAAAAGGGTTTACGACAAACTGCCACTGACAAAAGAAGTGTCTCCTTCCCGGGGGCCTAATGGATCGTCTCCTTATTGGGATATTTGGCAGAATGGGGCGTCTGCACCAATTAGAGGGATTTTGAAATGACCAGTGTAATGGTCCTGTGGGAGTGGCTGACGGTGAGGTATCGTTGTTGGCGTTCTCTGTCGGCCAGACAGCACGATAACAATGACTTTGTGGAAACAGGCATACCACAGAATCACTTGGACTCTGAAGTAGAATTTTCGTTTGTTATTGCAAACGTTTTTTTCGATAGTGTGGACTAGACAACACCAAAAGCTCAAACCTAATTTCTCTACACATCTTAGATCCATACAACTGAAGCTAAAGAACCATTGATACCAGTCAAATTATGATTTGCGTCAGAGTGAATTACGTTAATATCTTTTTCTATAGGCACGGAATGGGTCGGCAGTAAACAACGTATGATTGAATTAAGATGAACACTACTACAAGATCATGAGGTTCACCTGATATGAGATACACGTCAGAACAGAGATAGTTGTCACAGATAAGATTATGAGGTTCACCTGATATAAGATACACGTCAGAACAGAGATAGTTGTCACAGATAAGATTGTGAGGTTCATCTGATATGAGATACACGTAAAACAGAGATAGTTGTCACAGACAAGATTATGAGGTTCACCTGATATGAGATACACGTGAAACAGAGATAATTATCACAGATAAGATTATGTGGTTCACCTGATATGAAATACACGTCTGAACAGAGATAATTATCACAGATAAGATTATGTGGTTCACCTGATATGAGATACACGTCTGAACAGAGATAATTATCACAGATAAGATTATGTGGTTCACCTGATCTGAGATACACGTAAAACAGAGATAGTTGTCACAGATAAGAGAGTAGATAAAACAGATCATATTGCTTACATGATACCTTAACACCCACTCAGCTCTTCTCGCGTTTACAACTACAAGACATGGCGAAGCAATCCTAAATCTCGTATAGCCATGTGTGATTAGTATATGTATAATGAATAAGATTGCGTACAACTAGCCTTGTCTCCATAGCTGCTTCAGTCTTTATCCTTAATCACATAACGCCTTGGCGACTGGCCGCAGTAGGCCAGCTGTCTTGGCTACAAAAAACAACCTGTTGAAAATTGCTTTTTGAAAATAGGAGCTGACGAGAACAGCTAAGGAGACAATTCTAGAGGCATTTTAAATATAGGTCACGTGTAGGCGTCGGCTAATCAAGATTTTTTTACGTTACACTTAAACCTCGTGAAGACAGTAGGAGCATGTGTGAATGCAAGAGGTCACATTTCTGTTACTCAAACAAGTAAAATTGATACGGAGTAGATTTTAATGAACCTTGCGGACACCCAGACCAGATATCCCTGTCCCTAACTCACCTTTGACCTCGTACACGATAAATCGCCTGATAGGGTGGCTGATTTCCGCTATTTCGCTCCGCCAACGCGACGACACGACAGTGTGGCAACGCGACATCGCGACAAAATCGATGCACTAACGCAACAATGCGACAAAAGTACCCGGCTAACGCGAGTTTTCGCATTTTTGCGAAATGGTGGAAATCAGAAAAAATGTTATAACGTATTATGGGGTATTTCTGCATACTTCACTCCTCTCACATTTGAAGAATGGGGTAATAAATCTCGTGCTACCACGGTTCACTGCAAACTTAATCCCTTTCATAGACAATCATGATTACATGACTATGAAAAGGGGTTGTGTACAGTGGACTGTGGTAAACCCGTAAGAAAAGGGGAGATAATCAATTAACTAGTAATGTTTAAGTCGAAAAATGCAGATGAAGTGGTCAATTCTCATTTTCAAGCCAAAATTCTACAAATCGCCTTCAAAGGAAAATCATTATTGTGTAAGTAATAATGGATAATGACAGACCGATACCAATACTGAGCCTAAAGTTGTCTGGTACCGAGAAATACTCACGCATACAGGTACATGTATTTTAGCTTACACAGAAAACAATGAAAGGTTGAGGATGTGGCTGACAAGGTGATTTTTAAAAGATATTTTCTTTGTTTTTTTTTTTTTTTTTGGGGGGGGGGGGGGGGGGGTTGTGAGAAGTATGCAGTAAGTCTGTTATTGCATGACTTGTCTTCTCTCGGGACTTCATACATCCTCTCTAACGCTCAGTTTAATAAATCTCTTGTTACTCGAAAACCGTGCAATAACCTTTACCTACACGTCCATGCACGGCGTAATTAAGAATATCGCGTTTGAGGAAAATCCTTGATATGTGGCGATAAGGGAAGAGATGTAGATAATTACACCAGGAGTGTAGATAATGGCAATATACATGGGCATAGTAAGGTCTACGTTTCAGTATTTAACTTAATAATTACCACGGATACAACTGTCAAATAGTAGATAGAAATTCATCATACAAACGAAATCGCATCGTTACTTATCTATGTACATCTGTCCAATCGCCTGTGATCTACTAAATCACACCTATCTTTTGACCAACAGTCGTTGTGATTAGCTGATTATTTCCGTTATTGACGTCACATTTCTCGTACATCCGGGTACGCGTGCTGTTGATAATGACGTTTGATTGACAATTTAATCTGATATGTATCTTATGTGACAGACTGACGTCATTGCAAAACCAGTCGAAATACAAAGACAAGGACGGGTCACAGAAACGTTCACGATATGATTTCTTTATGTAGAGAGCTTTTCTCACACACGAAAGACGCCAAAAAATTCTCGAAAATGTTTTTGAAAAATTCTCATATGAAACAATGTTTGGAAAAATACATTATAAAATTATAGTACATATTCAAACCAGTCGCTATGGCAACACTATCATTAATCACTTACCTTTTCTATCGTCGCTATGGTAACACTATCATTAATCACTTACCTTTACTATTGTCGCTATGGTAACACTATCATTAATCACCTACCTTTACTGCTGTCGCTATGGTAACACTATCATTAATCATTTACCTTTTCTATCGTAGCTATGGCAACACTATCATAAATCACCTACCTTTACTGTTGTCGCTATGGTAACACTATCATTAATTGCCTACATTTACTAAAGTTGCGTCATATGTGTTATATTGTTTGTGTTAAGTTATATATGTTACACTGTTTGTGTTCAGTTAGATGTTTTTACACTGTTTGTGTTAAGTGATATGTGTTACACTGTTTGTGTTAAGTGATATGTGTTACACTGTTTGTGTTACTTCATCTAGGTAGTTCGGTTAAAATCACAATCAATTCCGATGTTCTTATTTATGAGTAAGTTCTATATGCCAGTAATATTAAACCAAATGTATTTCTACTGCTTGTGTTGTATTTTAGTTTCAGGTCTGAACATAACAGCACAAGGTTACCTTCATCAAAAAGACAGAAAATAAAGTAAAACATAGGTGCATTAATAAAACAGACGTCAAACAACAAAGAGATCTTCATTTGGACAATATTACACTGAATTTCTTTCAGTTCTTAGGGTTAGATGTTTAGGTAACTGTTCGTATATTTGATCGTGAAGGCGACACATTTATGGAACATTTACCAATCAAACGTTCGTGACCGCTGGTTCTTTGCCCAATTACTGGTGTACATTTATAATATGGGTTATAGAAGGTTGAAAACTGGCCATAGATCTGATGTTAGATACACATACAGCCAATAGAAGGCGTTCCATATTGAACCAACAATAACTCCGCTGCATATAGAGGTAATTCGCTCTGATTGGTAGTATAACTGTATTTCACAACGGCGTGCTGGTACGCTGTACATCCCACAAACGACATCAACCGTTTGTTGTTTATCTTGGAGTTTTTTTCCAAGGCATATTTATGATCAGTGAATTTCCTGTTCACATGTGAAGTATTATTTTTGCTCTAATGATTCAAATTGTTTCTCAAGACTTCTTTGGATCATTAAAAGCAATATCTCAGAAGATTTTATTGATTTCATGTTGGCGGTTTAACGTTGTTACAACACTATTTTACGTCAGGGAAATCCAAAAACACTTGGTTCGTATGACAACCTTCCGCTACTAAACCAATAAAATAACTAGATCTAATGACTCCAAATTCCGACTATCACAGAAAACCAGGACCAACATTTATATCGAACACGGGAAAGATACACACATATAAGCAATTTTAGCTTATTGTTTGTTCTCTGTGTCAAGATCTTTCTGATGGAAAAGGACAGAAGGCATTCCGACACATTAAGCATATGAGTTCTAGACAGGCCCAATCCGGAATCACCTCTCGAGGTATCGGGGAAAGGCAGAGTAGGGATAATGGCCTTGGAGAGTTGTCAGGCTGTAATACGTCTCTTTGGGGCTAACACTCTTGTTTTCATTGTCGTACTTGAATGACAGCTAAACGGAATAAAATCCGCCATACGTACACCTATAAATACTCGGTGTGGAAACAGTTGAGGCGCCAGGAGAAAAGCGAGATAAAAACCGATCAAATGGCCATGGCATTACGTATCATGTTTGTTGTTAGGAGCTATTAAAACACACTAGAGCAACTACATTTGATATATACATGTGATTAGCAGATTTAAATGTGTAACCCAACTGATTGCAATAAAAAAAAAAAAAAAACAGCGACGCACTATGTCATCAATATCTGGTGTTTGATAATTCGTTCATTATACACTTCAGGAATATAACAAGACACACCAGTAGTCTTTCTTTACTTCAATGTATCCGAATTTAAAAAAATCCGCAAAATTCAAAGCAGCAAATTAAAAGTATTATTCTGATTGGTTGAAAACTGTAACAGCAAAATAGAACGATTCCTTTTAGTTGCTCCGATGTAATTTGAATTTTTTCATTTCTTTAAAAAGAAATACATACATACACACAGCTCGGAGGCTACTAGACCCCACAATGTGGTCAGATATGATTACATGAGTTTATCTCATCCTAAACCTCTAATATTTTAACTGGTGCAAACATAAGGAATAGTTCTTCTTCCGTGAGAAAACGTCACACAAAAGTATACTGTTTACAGTAAGACATCTCCCCCTCCCAGTTCTCCTCACCTCCTCCCCATCCCCCTTCCCCATTCCCCCTACCTCCTCCCCATCCCCCCTTCCCCATTCTCCTCCTCCCCATACCCCTTCCCGTTCCCACCACCTCCTCCCCCTTCCCCATTCCCCGTACCTCCTCCCCACCCCCCTTTCCCATTCCCACCACCTCCTCCCCATCCCCCCTTCAGCATTCCCCCTACCTCCTCCCCACCCCCTTCCTCATTCTCCTCCTCCCCATCCCCCTTCCCCATTCCCCCACCTCCTCCCCATCCCCCTTCCCATTCTCCTCCTCCACCTCCTCCCCATCCCCCTTCTCCATTCTCTTCCTCCATATCCCCCTTCCCCATTCCTCCCAATACCTCTTCCCATTCCCCTCCCCACCTCCTCCCCATCCCCCTTTTCCTCTTCCCCATTCCCCCCTACCTCCTCCCCATGTCCCCTTCCCCATTATCATCCTTCCCATCCCCATTCCCCATTCCCCACCTCCTCCCCATACCCTCCCCATCCTCCTCCCCATTCTCCTCGCCTCCTCCCCATACCCCTTCCCGTTCCCCTCCCCCACCTCCTCCCCTCCCCCTTCACCATTCTCCTCCTCCCCATCCCCCTTCCCCATTCCCACCACCTCCTCCCCATACCCCTTCCCATTCCCCTCCCCCCACCTCCTCCCCCTTCCCCATTCCCCCTACCTCCTCCCCACCCCCCTTTCCCATTCCCACCACCTCCTCCCCATCCCCCCTTCAGCATTCCCCCTACCTCCTCCCCACTCCCTTCCTCATTCTCCTCCTCCCCATCCCCCTTCCCCATTCCCCCACCTCCTCCCCATCCCCCTTCCCATTCTCCTCCTCCACCTCCTCCCCATCCCCCTTCTCCATTCTCTTCCTCCATATCCCCCTTCCCCATTCCTCCCACCTCCTCCCAATACCTCTTCCCATTCCCCTCCCCACCTCCTCCCCATCCCCCTTTTCCTCTTCCCCATTCCCCCCTACCTCCTCCCCATGTCCCCTTCCCCATTATCATCCTTCCCATCCCCATTCCCCATTCCCCCACCTCCTCCCCATACCCTCCCCATCCTCCTCCCCATTCTCCTCGCCTCCTTCCCATCCCCCTTCCCTTCCCCCCCCACGTCCTCCCATCCCCCTTTCCCCATTCTCCTCCTCCCCATCCCCCTTCCCCATTCCCCTCACCTCCTCCCCATTCCCCTTCCCCCCCTCCCCCCACCTCCTCCCTATTCCCCTTCCCCATTCCAGCACTGTTTATGCGTCCTGTGCCTGTTTATACATTTGTACAGGGATAATTTCTTGTTTGTTTGTCTGGAACTTAAACTTGTCGATGTATAAACGCTAACATTGTTCTGATCACAGTAAATTGTCACATAAATTCCCGATAAATAAATGCTTGTGTCAAAAACGTCTGTGCCAGAGCAATATTCAACAAAACATGGAAAGTCAAGATCGCTTTTGGGGTTGGAACTGAAATAATGATTAGGTCATTTGAATGTTTGTGGAACAGTTCCATGATTTTGTTTGTCTACGGAAGTTATTTACTTGATTGCCCCTGTCAAAACAGCACATTCGAAAGAAAGGCATGAGTGCTACGTGACTGAAATTCCCAAGCAGAAGAATCTACATGTCAGATACAAATATAACAAGATTCCTTCATAAAGATACCAAAATTAGTTACAAAGCAAAACCTTCAAGGATTTTTGAATATACTACATGCCACATATTTAGTTTTTATCCACCGGATACAGTGGCGGGTTCACTATTACAATCAGCAACTGGTTAAAGTCGCGCATAATGTGTTCTGTTTCACAGGTAACGTCAGCTTCCGGAAACAGTCGTGAATACTGTAATCTATTTCATATGTAGCGTCAGCCACCGGAAACAGTTGTGAATACTGTGATCAATTCCATAGGTACCATCAGCTACCGGAAACAGTCGTGAATACTCTGATCTATTTCATATGTAGCGTCAGCTACCGGAAACAGTCGTGAATAATCCGATCTATCCAACAGGTACCATCAGCTACCGGAAACAGTCGTGAATAATCCGATCTATCCAACAGGTACCATCAGCTACCGGAAACAGTCGTACATACTGTGATCTATTTCATAGGTAGCGTCAGCTTCCGGAAACAGTGTTCCAATTTAAGAGACACCGACAGACACGATAATAGTTGTTCTAGATATATTACATCGGTACCGTCAGCCACCGGAAACAGTGTTTCAACTTAAGAGACACCGACAGACAACAACAATAGTTGTACACACTTGTTAAAAATAACAGCAGATGTAAACGACTTAGAATACAGAACCTACCCTGAATAAAATGTCAATACATGAAAATTGAGCAATGTCCTTTCATTATTGTAAATGCTGACGTGTTAGAATTGAAGACGTATATAAACCTTCTATAAATAATTTAAATGAATCGAAATAATGCCCATCAATACAAATATTTGTCATGTTATATCTGTATCCGGATCCCAAGCCTCCGAATTTCTTTAACTTAAGTGCATGCTTGGTTGATAATGAAGAGCATTTGATAGTTCGTTCATCTTGAGATATCTGAGATATAATATAATCTACTTTATAGATTTCGATTTATTTAAGTTTTAATATGAAAACTTTAAATTTGCATATTTAAATTCTGATTAAGGAAAGAAAAGTATTGTTGATATTTCCACCACAATTGACATATTATATATAGATAAAGATATAGTTCTGCTTTGCTAAAGCTGCCGAAATGAGTCATAGGTATCATGCAGTTTTCTTCTCAATGGAAAGATCTATTCAAAAGTCATTTCATTTTAAACTTAGATACAGAAATTGAGAGTCCCGTATCCTGCCTCACACAACTCTGAGCCAGCTGATGGACGGGCTACAGTCAGCATGGTTCCATCGCTTTCCTAGGCCTTTCCATTTATAGCAGTTATCTACAGGCATTTCTTTGTTTCAATTTGATATGTTAGCCGTCTGTTTGTCTTAACATTTTTTTAAAGATAGAGACGATTGATGAATACTTGTAATTATTCTGCTGTGTAATGTCTTAACATACCCTGTTCGCTTTATACGGCGCCATGCTCATTTGACCAGACAAAGACATTTGCCTACTCGAATCACGCAACGCTGGGAGTCGCGCATACGTAATACTGAATAGGAAAATCACCGCATAGTCATGTCTTACAATTATACGTTGGTGAATATCATTACTTCTGTATTTGTATTGTAGGGTAGACTTGATGGTTACTATAGTAACGTATCAGTATATATATTATACCTGTGGGGATTGGTGTAATTATTAAACTAAATTCTAAAAAAGCTACATGTTCATGGCACATTACAAAATCTTCAATTCCGTTTCATAGCCATTAAGCGTTTTTAGCATGGCATATATTTATAATTGATTAGAATGTGAAAATAATTTCAGCAAACCAAAAGCAATAGTTTAATTCCTCAATTTTAAAATACATTTTGTTAAGCTAAGATTAGGATATCTATGGAGATATTTTCACAAGTTCAAATCTCATCTACACGAATGATCTTACCCACAGAAGAGTGTTCTGGTGACCTTGATATTTATTTGCAATAAGGTGACCTTGATATTGATAAGCGTTTTGGTGACCTTGATATTGCTAAGCGTTCTGGTGACCTTGAAATTGATAAGCTTTGGTGACCTTGATATTGATTTGCATTCTGATGACCTTGTTATTGATAAGCGTTATGGTGACCATGATATTGATTTGCATTCTGGTGACATTGATATTGATAGGCGTTCTGGTGACCTTGAGATTGTCGCGCGTTCTGGTGATCTTGACATTGACTCAAGTTCTGATGACCTTGATATTGATTTGCATTTTGGTGATATTGATATTGATAAGCATTCTGTTGACCTTGATATTGTCGCGCGTTCTGGTGATCTTGATATTGATGTGCATTCTGGTGACATTGATATTGCTAAGCGTTCTGGTGACCTTGCTATTGATGCGAGTTCTGACGTCCTCGAAATTTTATTGATGCGGGTTCTGTTTACCTAAAATGCTAATGTGTGATCCGGTGACATAAATATTGATGTGCTTGCCATTGTCCTAGATACGGTTGCACGTTTCTAATGTAATGAGTGTTCTGGTGACAAAAATACTGTATTTGTGCTTGCTACGTAAAAATACAGATGTGCATTGTTGTGACATAAATATTGTTTGTTCTAGTGACTTATGATGATGAGGGTTCTGGTAACAGAAATACAGATATTCTTCCAACCTACTTTAACACAGATATGTCTTCTCGTGATCTGATAACCTGGAGGTTAATATAGGATCTAAAAGCCTGCAGGTTTATTATGGTCTGATAACATAAAGGTTAATATAGGATCTGAAAGCCTGAAGGTTAATTAAGGTCTGATAACCTGAAGGTTAATATAGGATCTGAAAGCCTGAAGGTTAATATAGGATCTGAAAGCTTGAGAGTTAATTAAGGTCTGATAACATGAAGGTTAACATAAGATCTAAAAGCATGAGGGTTAATATAGGATCTGAAAGCTTGAGAGTTAATTAAGGTCTGATAACCTGAAGGTTAATATAGGATCTAAGAGCCTGAAGGTTAATTAAGGTCTGATAACCTGAAGGTTAAAATAGGATCTGAAAGCTTGAAAGTTAATTAAGGTCAGAAAGCCTAAAGGTTAATGTAGGATCTGAAAGCCTGAAGGTTAATCAAGGTCTCATAACCTGAAGGTTAATATAGGATCTGAAAGCCTGAAGATTTATTAAGGTCTCATAACCTGAAGGTTAAAATAGGATATGAAAGCCTGAAGGTTAACGTAGGATCTCATAGTTTGAAGGTTAATGTAGGATCTGATAGGCGGAAAGTAGTGTAGAGTTTGATGGTCTGAAGGTTGACGGCCAGATTATAATGGCGTGAAGGCGAATGTATGTTCTGATGGCTAAAAGGGTAAAACGGGTTTTGTTACCCTAAAAAGTCAATATTGGTTCTGATGGCCCGAAGGTTAATGTGATTCTGATAACCTAAATATTCAGATAGGGTCTGATATTTTGAAGGTTAATATAGGTTTGGATATCTAACGAGCAAAATGGGAGATAATTTTTTAATATTTGGTCAGTGGGGCGTGACAGTATGATGTTACACAGCATATTTCTGTTTACTATCTCTGACAACGTCACTCCATATTGGCGAATTTGCTGCCAAGTAGACAATGTGATGTGTGCATTCGCGATATCGTTGTCAATAAATACTCTGTGTAAAGGGAGGTAGTCAATCGCTAAACGGAAACCATTAAACACTACAGTTTCCCATATCACCCACTCGAGACTGACGATCCGGGTTTATTGTCTTCTTCTTTAAAAAAATCTTTTGTTTTCTGCATGTTATGTGTAATGACTTCAATTTTCCTTGGGATACGATCCGGTACCGTGACAATCTGGAGAGTTGTCCTTACTGTATCCGACATGTCGAAGCTATGACGTGGATGTTGTCAGTTAAAGTTTACCTCTCCTGGATTTCTGACTCTGTTTCTTTAAGCAAAGCGTTTTTATGATGAAGATTCAAAATTTACAACCACTTTCTATTTGGGTCTCTCAAACCCCGGGAATGGTTGACATATTTCATTTATGTAAGCCGAGACAATAACGTGCTCAAGGATAGTGTATACTCAACTTCTGAGAACAAAAAACTACTTTTTTATGTACATGTCAAGACAAATTGTAGTTCTCCGGAATTACTTTCTTTTCAATTATAATGATTAAAACGCATCCACAATCTATAGCCTTGGAGGGTTTGAACAGGCGATATATCGTACAAACGTCACGGAGACTTAGCTAAATAACTCCTTCAACCATCTCTATTTGACACTCTTGTTTATCGCTTCCATAGGAAAAAAAGAACTGGGTGATCTTATGTGTTCTATTAACTCAAATTTCCCGTCAAGAAGGAGACCGTGGACTTGATGTGATCGTGAGAATCACCATAACCCGCCACCTAGTGACAGATATATTATGTATCAAGATAATTGTGAAAACTTTATTCACTTCAGCCATAGCATGATAGTTGGCGATTTGAATATTGATATGAAAGATTATCATGAAATTATTTTAACAGATTTTAAAGAATCGATTTTGACACTTACTATTATGAAGAACTGTAAACCGTCACTGGTATATGTGATATGAAGTAACAGTCATTTTTTTTTTTTTTTTTTTATAAATTTTCTCTTGACTTTGAACTCAGTGAC